CTTTGGAATGCGTGGATCTAACCGCGATCCGTCCCAGTCCCAAGGAACTGGGTCTAGGGAGACAATCTGGATGGAATTTCACGTAGAGTTTGGAAATGATTGGACTGGAGAACATACCCATCGTAGAATTACTTACATTGTACTTCAACGCCAGCTATGCGGTGGGGATTGTTTCGCACGCCACCGGCATGGAAATGTCGGTGGAAGAATTCAAAGAACATGAACAGGAAATATGTGTCAATCCTTTGGGCTTAAGTTGTTGGACATCGAACATTGGAGGTGTCGGTCTAGCGGTGTAGTAAGCAAGGCTAGGAACCTTGGAATCTCGCACGGGTCGAGTCAAGGTAGTATTGAAGCATAATCTTGTTTTTAATTTAAGAGCGAAACGTTAATTTGGAATTATATTCTTGATATAAGGATATAATAACGGTCTACCATTTTAAGCCACAAGGTTCAAAACTTGTTCCTGATCGCCGTCTTAATTGGAAATTTGCCTAGAACTCGATATTTTGATGCTTAGATGGTCTACTTCCATAAATATAATTCGATAATTCGATAATTCTCTCCGGTAGGATTGACGGGCAAACCAATAGCAGACTTCCATAAAATCCACAAAGAAATAAACAAGTATTCTAAAGTGTTCGATTCGTATATTCCCGAAAAAAAAAAAACTTCCTTTGATCGTCAGTGACTCCACATTGGCATTTTACGGCCACTACGTTAGCGCCCATTTTTGTGTACAGGATCTGGACCAATCAGTCATTTTTAGAAATCGAGTGGAGATCGACTCCGTATCTGTCTCTCATATATCTCATACAGACAATATGATCCTTGACTAATTAGGTCCCGATTTTGAAATTCCAGAATAATCTTTGGAGGTTGACCGCTTCTCAACCGATTCCTTCAGCAACTAAAGAGACTCTCTCCACTTGTCATATTGTTAACCGAGCTAAATCTTTCCAAGGTTTCCCTTCTGCAGCCCAACGGCCAACGGGTGTTCGGCATAACAATCTCGGTAACCAGCAGAGAAGCCCAACTTGCAGATCTAATTCCTTTTTATGGAGTTCACCAGTTTCTCCCCGATGTAGGGCCCCTGGAGGTTTGGTCCTTAGAGTTTGAATTGGGTAAGCCCCCTCGCCCCTTCAATATACTTCCAAAGGCAATATTTCCCCCCTTTTCTCCATAGCTATTCCGGTCAGGATGCCTCCCAGCAGCCTGAAAACTGGGATTAGTGCCCCGTTTGTTAATATGCCCAGAGTTCCTGACCCATTTTCAAACCCTCGTGATGTGTCGAACGTGGCGGAAACAAGTAACAGGGATAAAGGAAATCCATCGGCTCAGGTCTGATGTTTAAAACCAATCACCTTCACCTTTCCGATCAACCCGCTTGTTTATTATCTGTGCGTATTTAGTTATTTTCCTATTTCTCGTACACATACGGAGTATCCCGCCGTACCTCCTGCTCTCGCGCGTCTAGCATACACCTCTTCTCTCACCTGGGCATCCTTGTCCTATAATTACTCTATTCAAGCGCCGTGTTACATGAGCGTCAGTGTGTCCTTTGCCTAATGTGTTGGCCTTGCTTTCTTTTCCCGATGGTGTCCGCATAAATGCAATCGACCAGCCCAGAAGAATCGGTCTTCGAGCCGTCCCCCCAGACCTTTTCCACTCCAGAGGACAGACCATATTCGTTACCCATGAAAGTAACCATGCCTGCTCAATCTAGCCTTACGGCTTTACACTGGGGATGTTCTTATCCGTTTATCTTCCACCTCAACTTGGAGATTCCCTCCTTTTTCGTGTCTTATCGCTGGTGGGAAGACGAGGCGACAACTGTGTTCTGGGCCTTCGATATCCAAGAAATCCGCCGTGTGATCCAATTCGGTCTTTTTCGCGACGAAAATTTCCCGAGGACTTCGCTTTGCGCTCGAACTGTGGACATTATTGACAACTTTTTGATCGCGCTGTCCGAGCCCCATGAGTATCAGCTCCTTGGAAATCTCTCTCATATACAGAGGGTGGAGGAGATCCTACGCCGGTCAAGTATATCTCCTTTCCAGCCGATTCCTTGGAGTTGGCTCCCACCACAATCAAGCCCTACTCTAGATGCGCGGGAAATTGCTGCCGCAATCGAGGCCGAGAGCCATTTCCACTTCCGACAGATTGCCTTTGAAGAGTTTGTACGTGCTGCTCTCGGATACAGGGCTATTTTCGTGGAGTGGTTCCTGCAACAGCATGCAGCTCTTTATATTATTTTCCAGGACCATCTGAGTGCCTACGTAGAGGATATTCCTCTATATACAGAAGTGGAAAAGGTACGTTACCTAAGTTTGCCATAATCATCATTATATGGAGCCTAAGCTGACTTCTATAGCATCTTCGGTCGCGGAGTCCATTCGCACACCGAGCGCTGGTCCAGTGCCTACTGGCTGTGCGACGTGGCGGGAATCGTGACATTTCTAAACCGAACACCGCTGGGTTTGAATTCATCGCCGGTCCTATCCAGGCCTTATTCAAGGACCAAGCAGGAGGGCTTACGGGTATGCTTAAGATTTTGAGCGTTTTGGCAATCCGATTCCGCCGACAGTACATCCATGCTCCTACCATGGATTGGAAAACTCCATTTGAAACATCCATTCCTTTCCTAGACGATTATCTCGAGTCAACATCTCCAACAGATTTGGCCCGCAGCATGAGAGGCCTGGACGAGCACAATTTTGCGGAGTTGACCCGACAAAGCCTGATAGCCGAGGATGCTGTCGTGGGAAAATTGCTGCTACAGTGGCGCAAACTAAGTATTTCTATTTGGGAATGCTGTGCTGCACTTCCAGACCTGATTCCATATCTGCAAGAATGTGCACAGGTGAGTATTCTTTACTCCCAAAATCACCGAGCTCCTCTAACCATATAACCACATGAACAGTCCCTCGTAACAACCCGTAATTATCATTCTCTCGCAGCCATCATCAAAGGCCTGCACACCTATACCATTTTGACAACACGCCCCACCAACACCACCGCCCAAGGAAACGCGATTACACTCGAGACCCTAATCCCACAAGAGATGATCTCCCTCATGAGCTCCGTTGACAACTTTGCCACCTATCGCCAGCACTACCAAAAATTCCCCGGCATTCCTTTCCTGATCGCCCACATCCGCGATCACAAAGAAAACGGCGAATCCGTCCTTCAGCCGGTTTTTCAGTATATGCAAAGCACCAAATAAAGCCCACAGAGGTAGTCACCAGATCAGCGGCCTGCTTAGGCTCCTCTCCGGCTTCGGCTCCGGCTCCGGTGAGACAATAAAAGCAATATACTTCGGTGTGTGCTTGGCTTGTGTGGCTGCAGGTGGCCGAGACCGCCTCGCGTGGGCTAAAGATTGTTTCGATTGTTTGTCTTGCTGGTCAGCAGCTAACGCATTGATGGTGTTTTTTCCTTGGCAGTTTTATGAGGGGGGGGGGATCTACAGATGACGACCTCAAATGCTATATTTTATGATCTGTATTTCTATACTCTGATACCCATGCTAGCATCGGGCAGCACCGGGGAGGGGAGTCCGGCGTTTCACTGTGCTAATATGAATCTATTTTTCTTTCCTTTTTTTCCCTGGTGACATTCAAGGTTCTATTTATATTTGCATAACAGTGGACGATCATTAGATCTGAAAATGTAACTAGACCAGCTTATCTCGTCCACAATCCCCAATGTAGTTAAGCAAATACAAGCATGCCAGCAGATCCACCCAGCCGCATCCCACGCCTTCTATCTCTCTTATGCGACGACCAAGGATCTACGAATCAGATGAAACCCATTCCATCCGAAGAGCCGCTTCAGGCAAGAGTAGAGCCAAAGATGAACCACGCACATATGCAAACCCACGCACAAGTAAGGGAGGGAAGAAAATGGAAGGGGAGGAGGGTGAGCCGAAGACCCCGCCCAAAATTTCTTTGCTTTTTCTTTGGTATTCAACAAGAAAAGGACAGAGTGCATCTATTGGTCTGGCCAACCAAAGCAGCAGGTCACACCTCATTCGCGTTTTGCAGCCGCCTTAGGCGCCTTCGCATATCCAAAAATGCCCAAGAAATACGCGATTCTATTGATGAACAGGAACGTCGTGATCCCAATGTTACCCCAGGTCAAAGCGTTCCATGCCGCAACGTCTGCAAATGCGTCCCAGCCCATCGCCAAGTACGTGGCGTAGACATGGCCTACGTCAGCAATAGCAAGTCCAATTAGATAGTTGCGTAGTACTCTTGGTTCTGTTGTGGCATGGCAAACTCCCACGCCGACTAGGAAGAGGAGTGAGTAGATATTGCCGAGTTGGTAGGCGAGCGCGATGCTGCTTGGGTGCAGAGTGGCAGGGGCTGCGATGGTGGGTGTTTGCCCGGCAATAAAGCCTTGGAGGTCAAATAGGGGAAAGACACTGCCGAGGGCCCTGCATTAAGTAGGGTCAGTGCATGGTTGGGAGGAAGGGTTGAGCTGGTCGTACAGAGAGATAGGCTCAAGGACACCGAAGAGGATGTGTGGCCATGTTGGGAAGATGGTTGGCATGTTGGGGTCCTATAGCGTTTAACGTTATTCTTGTTTGTCTCTTCTTGATTGTTGTGCTTTGGTCTTGACTATCATTCGATCGGAGCGGTCTGCATAAACAAAGCTCACGCTAGCTTCACTTATGCAGAGAGAAAGGCAACTCACGTTTAGTTGCTGACGACAAATATCAAGTATATAATGTAAATTGTATGATAAAATCCGATCAAATCAATGAGCGGAATTCAGATAGGAGATCCTTAAAAAGAATTGCCAGGGGCTCTCGACACCTGGGCAGAATGCTGGGAAGCTGACGTAGACACCCCCGGAGGCCCGCTTTACTGGCACTCGTCACCGCCCGTATCCGTTATCGTATGGATCTTATCAGAGCTTCATCTTCTGATCCCCAAAGTCATGGACACAATATGTCAGAGACATCCAGGATGATATGCAATCTGTGATAGCTGGCCGAAATGGAATCTGCGAGTGCATTGCGGCCTCTTGATGAATCACTACTCCGCGAACTCCCTCAACTCTCTCTCCGTATCGCCCCTCTACGAGAACCAGTATCATCACGAACCCTAAGCGTCCCGTCGCCCCTCGAACCCAATGCCAGTGGGACACGGGACTCGAATAATATCTCCAATTCAAGCAGCAATAATGGAAAGATCCCAGCAAATGCAAAGGCCAGCCTGCCGACAGTTACGGAATTTCTAAACGCTGCGCGCATCAGGAAAACCGAACTCTCAGCAGACTCGCAGTCAAATGTGGAATGTCCCCCGAGGCCGATACTTCCTGCTTTTGTGAATCTCCGTGCCCTGGAAAAGTTTCCATTCTCGTCGTCCTTCGACGATGACGCCCTTCAAGGGCCCCGCAAGCGTCGACGCCGAGATCCCCAGGCCGATTCATTCAGCGAGCATCTACAGTTACCTATCCCTCAAGCCCAGAAGGAACAGCGGCCTCCTCCATTTGGGCCATTTGCTATTCTAAATGGATTGAATGAGCCTCCGCCCAATGCTGCCCTTCTTCCACCCATTGAGGCTGGGTCCAATATCTCCCAGCTTTTGACTAAGCCCTCCGGAGGCGATGCTGGTGTTGACCCCGGGACGTTAGTTTCGGCCCAAGCCGCTGTCCTAGATAGCCAGCCTGCGGAAAGACGGGATACTAGGCTCGAAGAAACCCTCAGGACGTCTCTCAATGTGGATGAAGACGACGATCGTAATGATAATGACGAAAGTGTTGAAAGTACTAACCCAGTGGATCCTGATGAGATTCCCCTTGCTGTTCGCGAAGCAGAAATACCGAAGAGCAGTAAGGCGTTGCTACCCCCTCCTAGAGAAGATGTGCCACTGTCTCCTAAAACTCGCGGCCGGTCCCGTAAAAACCTGAGAAAGTGGTCCGAAGAAGAGACGACTACTTTACTCCGAGGCGTGATTAAATGTGGTATTGGCAACTGGACTGCTATTCTTGCTCAACCGGAACTGGAGTTTAATCAACGAACTGCCTCGAATTTGAAAGACAGGTATGCCCGGTTCTTAGTCAACTGTATGGGCTTACGCTAAAAGCTTCGCTATGTTGAAGATTCCGAGTCTTATGTCCATGGGCTTACAAGTAAGCAATCCGAATCTAACTAACACTCTAACATCACCCAATCAAGATATCTAATATTAGCACAGCGCATCCGATCCCAACGAAGCTGCGAAACAACTACACGCCACTCTCGCTAACACCCTACTCAAAGCGAAAGCAGAGGGCTCCGACGAAACACCTGGCAAAATCCAGCTCTCCCATATAATGCCCTCCAATCAAGGGTTTGAGCCAAAGTCTGGAGCAGGAAGTCCGACTCGCAATCCACAAAACCCCTCTATCTCGAGTACCGTCTCATCCACGCCGGACGCAAATCCCGGGAGTAGTAGCATTACCCAATTGCAGTCACCCTCATCAGGAAATAGCACACCCGCTCTCTCAAGCAAGTCCCGCACAACCCTAGCTTCTCTTGGAATCTCCGAACCACACGTCGCGAAAACCAAACGTCGCTCCCGGCGACCCTTCACAACCGCCGAAGACGAAGCCCTCCTCAAAGGCTACGCAGTGCACGGCTTCCAATGGACCCTAATCCAGCAAGATTCACGGTTGAACCTCAGCCACCGCAAAGCGACAGACCTTCGCGACCGCTTCAGAACGAAGTTCCCACACGCTTATCGCGACGGTGGTTCTGTGAGCGGAAAAGCCCTTACCAACCAAAACCAGAGCCAGGAGTTGACTACAGGCGCATCGACCCCCCGTCCACATCCGGTCAACACGGAACAATCTCCAAGTAAGACTTATGCCATGACTCCAACTTCGACTCCGGCTACCACTCCCCGCAACTCGGTGCCTAGGAGGAGTCACGCTGCTACCCCTTCGCAGTCCAATTTTGCCCAGATTGACCCCGCGCTCTTACCTCCACCTCCGCAGGGCTTTTTGGAGCACTCGATGTATCTTCCTCCCGCTGCTTCGGGTGTGCTTTCTTTCTCTTTGGATGATGGATCTGGGGCGGGTGCTTCTTCCGCAGTGGAGACTCCGTGGGAAGATAATACCCTTGCTCCTATGATTTGGGATGAATTGACATAATCAGGGGCCGAGCCTTGGATGCACTATGTCACCAACACATGTCATGGATTTTTGAATTTACTTTTGCGTCTTGGTCTTCGTTCTTCTCCTTTTTCTCATACCGTTTTTGTTTTCTTGTCCTCTTTCTTTTTGCATTGCATTTTTGGTGCTCTATATCGTCTTTTCTTTTCCTCCGGTCTGTCTTCTTTGTTGATCTATATCCCGCAGTACACGATGGTTTTTGCTACAGTTTCTATTCAATAAAAGTTATCTTTTTGCTGTTCAATGTCATCGACAATCAAATTCCCACTATAGAGAAAAGGATGCAACAGATTTGGTCTTCTCACTATGCATAAAGATGGTACCACAAAATATCAGACCAAATAAAAAAGTAATAATAAATTGACGGAAAAAGAAAAAGTAGAAAACGCGCCTGTCCACCCAGATAACAAATAAAATCTGTACTTGCTTGTATCTGCATCTGATTGGGCAGTAAGAAGTAGTGAATTCGGATATCAAACGAGCATAAAAAAAATCAAGCAATGACCGTCACATAGCATACACTGCGGGTACCCATTTTCAATCGCGAAAGATGTCTGCCGGGGAAAGGACACGAGCGTGAGGGAGCGGAAGAAGAAAGAGGATAGAGATGAAGGTAAGAAAGGAAGTCCGAAGAGGCCGAATGCAAGGTCTCATCCCATCCTGAGGAATGAGACATGCTTCCCGTTAATGAATTAATAGTCAAGGCACTGGTCATCTACCACGCATTGCGGTCCCAGTTAGGATCTGCGGAATGATCATTAGTACACATCCAATAAAATATATTCGAACAAGCGACTAGAATAAACCCACCTTGTATGTAGCTAGCAAGCACCTTACTCCCCGTCTGCAGAAGAGGGTGTCCAGCAACGATCTGGAGGAAGCGCTGCAGACCCTCACGACGGTGCTCGATGACGTCGTCGCTGAATCGGTTGGTGAACACCTTTCCGGGGAGAGGGGGTATCGTGACGCGCGTGCTCTCGCGCTCCAGGATATCGCGGAAATACTCAAAATCGGAGTACCGACGGCGCACGACGGAGTGTTTCAATTTGAAGGCGGGGATGTTGGTCCGGCACACTATCTCGTACGATGTGTACATGTTGCGAGATGTCCCGTGGGTTTGGGGGTTGCGGACCTATTGCAGCCGTTGTTAGTCTGGGGTGTTCATTCTTGGTGCCGGATGGGGGGTGGTGATGATGCGGGTTTGGGTGGAGATGTATGGAGGCTGATTAGGGGAGAGATGTGGGCACGAGACTCTGGGGTATTGGAGTAGGTGATTGATTCGGGGGTGGATATTGGGAATTGTGCATCGTGTAACTCACTTCTATCTCGAGAAAGTTCTCGGGAGGTCCGTAGATCTCCTCAAAGGACTGCTGTCGCGATTCTGGGACGGACTGCATCGTGGTGGGGTTGGGGTGATGCGGAGGGGAAGTTGAGGGGAAGGCGAGCGGGGTTTGATATTGTGAATGCTCAGATGGTGAGTTGAGCGTGGGATATTCAATGAGATAGCTAGTCTCCGTCTAATTCCCGGGAACTGAACACTACAGAGCAGATCCTAAGGTATCCGAGCTCGGAAGTTGGAGAAGCATATCTATCAGTGGGGACCGGGGAAATAATTGATCCGCCCTTTTGGCTTATCTTCCTGACAGCCGTTTGACATAACTAGTTTTCTCGAATTGTCTACTTCATGTAACAACTTTATCTGCACAAACTTAAACAGAAAAGCAAAAGGCAAAAAAGCTAGCAAAGACTGTATAATGGCGGACTGTTCTTATGTTGTCTAGTTCAAAATATACACACTTGAGGGACCCCCCAAAGCTACCAACACTCCCTACATAGTTTATACTTAGCCATGACCAAGTTAACAGAATGTTCCCCCTCAAATTTACAAACAGCAACACCGAGCTTGCATGTCCCTCCTGTGGAACTATATTGAAGCAGACTTACTGCCTAGGCGGACATGTCTCTACTTCTCACCAGGATTGACCCCCCTTCTCCTCTTTCTCTCCCTCTCTAGGTGAGCAGCTCCATTCAATCCATCATTTTCTTTCCCATTTTCTTTTCCTTCTCTGCAGACTGCCAGCTGAACTAGATAAGTAGGAAATAAATTAGTCGTACTAAAATTTCAATAGTGGCCGATACCTAGGTATATATAGTCAGCGACATCATCCAAGGAGACTATCAAATCTTTAGCCTCCTTAATACATCTTTCTAGAAAGATACAGCCACATTAGCCAGCCATCAAAGTAGTCCTCCAAGAAAATACACGCTAAGGAAGAATATAGGGCTAGTGCAAGATTTGCCTTGATACAGGCAATGATGAGGGCATGGTGGATGTTATCTGCAATATATTTATCTGCAGGGAGGTTATTTTAAAATCTCTAAAATAAAACCATTCTAGATATAACTAAGAGCCAGTATGATAATTGATTAGCAAAAATCAATAATACATACCTATATAACTTGAGCAGTATTCAGATATCACGACGGAGCTTCATTTTATTGCAATGGAGATGTCCGAATTAGAGTTTGTGCCAAAAACATTGAAAGAGTTGGTATGGTTTTCGCTCCCCGGCATATGATTTCTGCATAACATGCATATGCAAAAGCCTGAGATGCATTTACCACGAGGTTCTACTACTTCCCGGCATATAATGCGTTCATCCTAGTTCCTGAACGGTAAATTGAGTGCTGTACTTGCGGGAAACGAAGCCATTCAATCACACCAAAACCATAGGGTTAAAGCGGGTGGCACCAAGTAGGTGACACAGCCGAAGGAAAATTTATAAATACAACGTTTAGTCCCGAATGTGTAAGATCTAAATAAGTCAATAATGCTTCAGTTTTATATTCTGGATACTCGTATTACAGACATTGGTCAGTGTGCCGGCGATATATTCTTATAACAATCTAGAGGGCTTTGTGGACAACGACCCTTTCCATTGGAGAGTAAATTGTTTATATAGAGGGAGTACTTGAAGATCTCAACAATCTTTCATCAATTGGAAGTCCAGACCGGAGATAAGAACCGGAGTTAAGACATTGTGACATAACCCAAATCCAGCGCCCGTGACCGAGGTCGGGACTTATCAATCAACTATGTATCGATAAGCACGAGATCTCCTCATCTCACTACCACAGCAATACAACATACACTATGAGTTCAAGGGTGCCTGATGATGGCAGAGAATCCCCAAGTGGCCCAGAAGGGACCTGGCACCCTGCCCGCGAATGGCTTGAAGAGGATGAACTTGACACCGAATATCACCCCGCGTTAGAGCCGTCCGAGCATGATGGCGCATGGGAGGATGACATATCCAATGAAGACCAGCCAATGGGCTCGGGGACTGCAAGTGGTAGGACTAAATTCTAGGCCATCAAAACAGTATGTAAATGGACTGACCGCTTCTTTGTGATAGATAATACCCACATCAACATCGGAAGCATTCAAATCGAACTTACGGCGGACGATTCGGAGAGCGAGCACACGGACGACCTGAACGAAGGACGCACTCGTGGTACGTTGTGCCAGAAATTCTCGAAGGATGCCAGTACAATTGCTCACAAATTCCAGTACCAGCTTCCCGATTATTCGAGTTGCTTGCATCCAGTGGTTTACAACATATCCTCCAAGCCAACGGTTGGCCGACGGCAATGGAAGATGAGCAGGAGCAGCTGGAAAATGAAGAGGATGGGTTGAGCGACGAAGATTTCATGCCCATATTCCGAAATCGCCTCCGAGCCGGACGGTCCGCAGAAAGAGCTAAACTTCCACCGGTTCCTAACCCAGAGGGCAAGAAATTGATGGGCGAAGGTCTTTTCGGAACTGACCAATTCTACGGCGACCGGCTCAGGCAGCGCAAGAAACACCTAGCGACAAGCCTGATGTGGCGAGAACTAGGCATTGACACTGATGGAGTGCGGAAAAGAGCCGGCCAATCTATCTCTCAGGTAGGCCAAGTGTATAGCCGACACACGGAGATTATGATAGCGAGCAGGACTAACGCATACGTTTGGCGCCGAATAGGGCCTCATTCCAAGCTCGGTTGCGGACAGGATCATTCACTATGACACGCGAAGTTATTCAGGCCAGTTCTCAGATGACGGGAATTTCTTTTTCTGCTGCGCACAAGACTTCAAGGTTCGAATGTACGACACGTCCAACCCGTACGACTGGAAATACTACAAAACTGTCGAGTATCCCTTCGGTCAGTGGACTATCACCGATGCGACATTGAGCCCCGACAACCGCTTCCTTGTCTACAGTTCAATACGAAGTCAGGCATACATGGCCACCACAGACCCAGAGGACGATTCAGATCCTATGGTTTTAGATTTATCTACTCCACCAGGCCAAAGAAGAAGACGGAGCTGGGGTGGTTCGCACTTCGGGGTATGTGCGGTGATACTTTTATTGATATTTCAATGGTTAACCTAGTCCATTTTTAATAGATCTGGTCTCTTCGCTTTTCTGGAGATGGGCGCGAGGTTGTCGCTGGCACATCGGAAGATTCGGTCATTGTTTATGATCTAGAAACACGACAGCCAGTCCTAAACTTACGAGATCGGCACCAACATCATGTCAATGCTGTGTGTTACGGTGACACGTCTTCGCCACACATCCTGTATTCTGGATCCGATGACACGACAATTCGGGTCTGGGACCGACGGTCAATGGGTGATGGGCGTGAAGCTGGTGCCTTTATGGGCCACACCGAGGGACTGACCTACGTTGACAGCAAAGGCGACGGCCGGTACGTCCTATCGAATAGCAAAGACCAAACGATGAAGCTTTGGGACTTGCGAAAGATGATGACATCCGCCGATATCGAAAACATCGACCCCGTCGATTACACAACCGGCTTCGATTACCGCTTCGAGCAGTATCCAGATCAGTACCGCAGAAATGCCAAGAATGACTGCTCTGTTGTTACATATCGAGGCCACCGAGTGCTTAAAACCTTGATTCGCTGCCACTTCTCGCCCTCGGGAAGTACAAACTCGCGCTATGTTTACAGTGGAAGTGAGGACGGCAAGGTTTATGTGTACAACTTGGACGCCACCCTAGCCGGCACCATCGACGTTGGTCAAGCGACACTTAACTCTCGACCGCGTGATCCAGAGGCCTATGCTACAGCGTATGAAATGAGCGGGGAGATGCTTTGGAGAACTTGCGTTCGCGATGCAAGCTGGCACCCAAGTGCGCCGGTACTAGCAGGTAGGAACTATACCACGGAACGTTTGTTTAAGTCCACATAGCTAACCCTATGTTTAGCAACTTCTTGGAATGGCTGGGGCTTGTCTACTGGCACTTGTACTGTGCATTCGTGGAACGCGGGTGCTAATAAAGACGAGGGAGATCCACCGGTTGGCAAAAGCTGTAACGACAAATTACGATACATCCCTGAGTTCGACCAATACCGTGAAAATGCACCCCATAGTCGACCTCGGCGTCCATTGCGCAGTCGGCCAGTTCGTCGATGGGTTGGTGATGAAGAAGCAGAGGACACAGTATGGTAGGCGAGGGATGATTGTTCTTTTTGGTCCAACAAAAAAGCATTCACAGATGGCTTTTGATTCTGCACATCCTGGGCGTCTTTACTAATGTATCTTTGCACAACACATACTCCATGGTAGTCAAATTTCTTTTGACAAATGCAATCTGTCATCTCGTCCGGTCCACCACTGTAGATATGATCCCGGGCTGTTTCAAAAAGCTCAATATCAGGGAATTTTAGATGGAAATGAATGCTTGAAGGGTGTGAATTAAGTAAAACAAGGACCCCTATTGATACAGAATGCGAAAAAAAGGTGGTATCTCATAGATAGCGATCATGCTCTGCCTCCTATCGCTGGCCAAAAAAAGCGCCAAGTGGCCGATGGGGATCGCCACGGAAATTCAAAACATAAAAAAGGAAAAGTGGTCCGAAATGGAGTCAGGCTCGGAGTCCAGGTTCTTCGGGGAGTCCCGGGGGGTATGTCATGGTGTGTAGGCGATATGATAGAGCGGTGTCATTCAATGGGTTTGCCTGCGACCACCTGGGTAGGATTGCGCCATAACGCCTCTTATCATTCTCCATCTCTTGCCCTCTGAGGACTTTCCCACAATCAACAGCTTTTCCATCACTCCCAACTTGTCAAATGGATCTGACCGTCTCCTGGGAGTGCCTCTCCCTTAGGCGCCACCGACCAGCACTTGGTTAACGGGGATGTGAACTATAACCAGTAGGTTAGTATAACAGTACATGAAAGCTGCATTTGTGGATTGATATCCGCATTCTGGAACACGTACTCAGCTTGACGAAGTAACCAATGGCTCCCTATCGGCGATGTCAGTATTCCGGCTTGAACTGCGATCCAGGGGGTGCCACAATGGCACAATGGTACATACCATAACAAGGAATCCCATGCCAACGGCCTGGCTGATCTTGATGAATTCACGCTTGTCGGCTATTGGAAAGTCAGCGTGTCATGAACTCGCGAAATGACTGCCGATCAACATACGCTTGGTGCAGCGGCGAACAAATTGCGAACCCTCGCGGACGAAGTCCTTAGGGATATCGGCAAGCTCTTGGAAAGTCTCAGACATGATGGCGGAAATGAAGAATTATGAAAAGATTAAGAGGAACTTGAAGGGGATTAAGTCGCGACAATTGGAGAAGAACAGGTGGTTTCTCCGGGAATGACCAATTGGCCTCTATGGGGCTCGGGCAACTGGATAATATTTGTTCCAGCTCCAAGGTCTGGCCCGCTGTGGTTCGCCCGCGCAATTACATCGCCATCGCTCATCGTCGTCCCCAGCTATATCATTGTCGTGAAGATTTTTGAACTTGAGGATCTGCCCTCGTGATTGACGAACCGTCGGCGCGCGTGTTCATACTCCCCAAGAGTCGTTAACGGCTACCTTTCCCTTGTTTTCTGCTCTCACTCCTGTCTAACCCATCCCCATTTACTCAATCGCTTTCTTGCTGCCTGTCTGTGGCAGCTTCTCTTCTCTTTTCTCTCTTTCTACTCTGTATCCGAACATTCGCGGAACAACTCTGGTTCCCTTCTCTGTACATCGCGTCTGCAACTCGCGCAAGTCTTGTTTCTACCGGAAGCGCTTCCTCGCTTCGGATTGTACGTATTGTCTGGCCTCATTTGTTTCTATGTCATGTCCTTTTCATGTTACCCTTCGGGGGAATGGCCAATTTTCCGTCCGCTTTACCTGTGAGGACTCAGTCCGACGGGCTGTTGGGAACCATTACGGGAATCGCGCTACCCCTACACAGATTTCGGCTTTTTTCTTCTTTTTTTCTTTCTCAAGATGTTATTCTTAATGCTAATTGGTGCCTTGTGTCTGCAGACATGCACTTTTCTTGATTTGCTCAGAAGCGGAAAGGATCAAGAAGAAGAAGGGCCTGTATTATCGAACATCAGATACTCAGGCAATTTCAATCATTTCTTTGAGGTCCAATCCCCTGAAATCGATACTAATTTAGTTCGCAATGGCTACCGACGACGATAACTTCGACATTGACATCTACGGCGACGGCACTTACAATGCCAATGACACCGGAGATTTCAAGCAGGAGGATACTGAGCTCGTTCTGGATGCTCCCGAGAATCAGCCCGAGTCCAGCACTGATACCGTCAAGCATGAGAACGCTCCTGCCACTCAGACCCAGCAGGTGAACAATAATGCAGCTCCACCGGCCCCTCAGCAGCAGGCACCTCAGCAGCAGACTCCCCACCATGGTCTGCCTGCGCCCCCCCAGGGAGTCAAGCGAAAGGAATACGAAGACCAGTCCGTGGATCCAGATGCGACAACTGCGCTGTTGATCTCGGATCTATCCTGGTGGACTACCGATGACGATATCCGAGGCTGGGTGAACCAAGCCGGAGTCGAGAACCAGCTTAAGGACGTGACCTTCAGCGAACATAAAGTGAACGGCAAGAGCAAGGGGTAAGAACGTTATATACCTGGTCGCAAACCAAAACAATTTCAAGCATTGATACTAACATTTGAAAACCTTAATAGTCAAGCGTTTGTTGAGTTCACTACCGCGCAGGCAACGACAGCGACTAAACACAACATCGAGAGAAACGGCGGTCCCGCGCGTAAGCACACCGTGATCTACACCAGCCCCCACCAAAACCCATTTAAGACCCTGCCCAAGGATACCCCGATGCGCAATGCTGGTGGCCGCGGCGGCGGTGCTGCCCACAACACCGGTGGCAACCCCAACTACGGCATGAACAACCACACTGGTGGTGGATTCCGTGGCCGGGGTGGCTTCAACAACCGCGGCATGGGTGGTAACATGAACAACAACTTTAACAACCGCAATTTCAACCCGATGGGTGGATTCCAAGGCGCGCCTAACCCCATGATGGGTGGCTTCCAGGGTGCCCCGATGGGCGGAATGCAGAACTACGGATTCAACAACAACCGCGGCAACATGATGGGTGGTATGCGCGGCGGTGCTGGTATGCGCGGCGGTCGTGGTGGGAACCCCATGGGTGGTGGTCCGAACATGATGGGTATGCCTACTATGACTCCCCCCATGGGTGGCATGGGTATGAACCCGATGGCTGGTATGAACCCCATGATGGGTGGTGGCATGGGCGGTATGGGAGGCAACATGCCGATGCAAGGTAAGCGATCCTGATATACTGATTATCCTCTCGGTTCCACGATCCTGACTTTCTAGGACAACAAGGTTTCCAGGGTCCAACCCCCGGATTCAATAATCAGGGCTACTACAACCCAAACCCCAACAATCAGCCCGGCGGCTCCGACGCAGGTTCCTGGAACCCCCACGGCGCGAAGCGCAGCCGTCAAGACTAAAAATATCACGCGTCTCGGTTGGTTCTGGTGGTATTTTCTCAGAGCTTCTTGCTACTGATTATGATGGTCTTTAGTGCGCGAGATTTCTTCAGATCGAAGAGGGGTTGTTCTTTTGCCATATTATTTTTATGGTTGCTTTTTCATGCTCAGGTTGGAATCATTGGGGGAATTATCGGAATGGAATGGCTGCAGAGAAATGCCGAACTAGCGAGGTTGTTTTCAGATCATCGTACCAGTTCCGGTCCTGCTTGATTTTTCGCTTTTTTCTTTTCTTTTTTCTATGGTGTATTAGGATATATCTTTTCCATTTTCCATTTTCCATTTTCTATTTTCTAGGTACAGAGTACATGTATGTATGGACTCTGTACATCCATGTAATTAGCTACATACGTAGTCGAGATTTCGGGTAGAGGTAGACTGCCAAAAGGGCACTGAGAAAGAAGAGAGGGTGGACAATATAAGATATAATACCCTCACATCCAACTATTATCTGGGAAGCGATATATATGAACGATTAATATATCTGCAGGTAGCTAGTACACCTGCTCAAGCTACATGCGAGGTTATGCACTGCAATACAATGCCCCTGCACCAAAGGCGCCTTTGGGCTGATATCTACCAAATAGAAGCAGGGTACATCCTAGTTTGTGTAGAGAGCTCCCTGTTTATATTGCTTGCCTAAAGTAGACTACACACATGTAGTATAGACACCTGACGGGAGCGGTGCAAGAAGGTAAACACTAGGTACGCACTCTAGTGGAAGTTGTCTAGAACTGAGACTGGGAGGAGCTTCATAACGCGTAAATCATATTTTCATTTCCAATTCAATCTTGTAATTCGTGAAATGTCATGTAAGTAGTATGCCCCCCAAACGCATGACGACATTATGTATCTCCTTGAAGTTAGATGCCCAATCGCTGTGTATGTAGACTTGTACAGGAGGGGTTTTTTTTTGTAGAATAAAGCGCGATAATTCAACATTAGAAAAAAAAAGCAAATATGAACAGAAATCGGGTAAGACATTAGGGGTATCAAGCATAAGGGTAGAAGATTATGAACGGGGTATGAGAGTGGGCGTGATAGGGTGGTTTTAAATGCTCAAAAACAGACTGAGCCCATTGCGACCCATCAACAACCAAGAAATCTTGAACTTGTACACAACATACATGGACATCAAGTCTAGTACATGGCCAGGATCAGAAAGGAGAAGTTTCTGACACATGTCGGCGTCTATGCCGCTGGTCCACTGGGCTAGTTTCGTTAGAGCCGACTTGATGTTAAAGCTAAATTCCCAGTCTTGCACGTCCTCGGTCCGGTAGAGAAGCGGGGTGAGTTCGGAGCTGGAAGGCGATGTGGGAGTAAGCTCTTGGTCTGAATTGGTGTCAGACTCGGCACCCTCGTCGGAGAGGGTTTCGGATGGGATAGAGCGAGTCCTCTGCTTCTTGGTATTTGCCTTTGCTGCCGATGCGCGAAGACTAAAAAGTTTCACGAAGACTCGTACTCGCGTGCGGAGGGGGTGACTCGATTCGTGCGCCGGGGACATTTTGAAGGTCATCTCGACTCTTTTGTTGTCTGATAATTTGAGGCTTGCGTGGGCTTGGTAGTCCACAGTTGGGATGGTCACGCATGGACATTGGCAAGTAGATATTGGCTGGGAATCTTCTAGAATGGGTGAAGATGCCTTGTCTCTGAAAACAAGGTCTGCATATGAGCTTGGTGCCGGACCACCAGAGGCTTTCGGTCTCGGTTGTATCGTTTGTCCTTTGATGGCGAGCGGGTCAATAGATGTGTTGAGTCCAATGCTGCGAAGTATCCTGACATCACTGTCGAAGATAACCGACTCTTGCACTTTGTCGTCGAAATCACTCGGCGGTGGGTGGCTTTCAACATTCATTGCCATCCTTATAACATGATCGTATGAGGGTGGATCATCCATGAACGTGTTGGTCGGATTTTCAAATGATCGTGGATCGAATAAATGCATTATTTCGTTGGGATTCCAGTAAGGCGGTTGAGTAGGCATATTCTGAGGCATTACAAAGTTTGCCGATGGTTCAGGGATAAAGTAAGACTCGTTCAAATTGATGATAGTAGAAGATGAATCTGAGAGGGCTTGCATAGGTATTCTCGAGGAAGACCCAACTTGGATAGCACTCTTGGGCGTGTCACCACATCTGTGGCAACTAAGAACATGTTTGCATTTTGGACATTCAGCCATGTCATGATCACATCGTTTGCATTTTTTCGGACTAGGGGCCTTCTCTTCCGTTGGCCATTTCTGTTTGTCCGGGCGCTTACGCTTGGTCGAATGATCGACTCGTGACGATCCAGGGTTCGGTGGTGGCTGTAGATTTTTGGGCTGACCGCTGGCTCTGGGGAGGTGAGGCCTGGGCCTACGAGATGAGCCAAGCAAGTTGCCGTTTGAATTTTGTTCAATGACATCAGTGGCACTTTGACGACGGTTACTGTTGAGGTGCTCGTCGGAAACTGAGTGTGATATGGGATCAGGATGCGCATTTCTCCTGCTCCCGAAGCCTCCGAAGCTCGTACTGGAATAAGATGGACCCCCAGTCCTGTTATTTGTTCGGTTATACTGCGATTCTCCGTTCAAATTGCTGGGCCCGGCTGAAGACGAGCCATGGCCATGGCCGTGGCCATTGCCGTGGCCGCCACCATTGTCGCCATGGTGAGACCTATCACCGTTGGCAGAGACATTCGCCGAATGAGGGGAAATGAGACAGTGGTTCTTGATGTGCTCGAAATAGACAGACCAAGAAGGTGTCTCATCGTAGCAAAGGGGACAGTTGGTTGGAGGGACATATCTCACCCGAGTTGCTTCCACATCAGCCGGGAGCAGATCGGGTCTCTTATGTTTGATAATAAGATGGCTATGCATCCTATCTCGCCGGTGGAAGACCATGGAGCAGTGCGGCTCCGTGCAACGCCACTCGCAGTCGAGTATACCGTGTTTAGTCAAATGTCTCTTGAATGTACCAAAAGTTGGAAACGTCGTTCTTTCCCTCTCATGATCACATTGCCAACATCGATACATTTTTTTGCCTCCTGAGCACTCGCTTAATGAAACGGGAGGTGCGGGAAGCTTTGTGTGAAGGAAGATTATCATCGCTTCAAGGGTCTGCACCCCTTGTGAGATTTGATCGTGACCACATGGCTGGTTATACATGAGAGCGCAGCAGGTGCTGAAAGCCTGGTTCACGGCATCTTCCGAAGGTTGCAAAGACAACGGTGTGGAATTTGGGATTCCCATCGCGGTCCGATCCAACCCTCCAGATGGATACGCAGTACTCTCACTTGTTATATCATCTGCTGGTCGTTGAGTGATAGTTGAACTGCCTAGATCATCTGCTAGGTTTTGAGGGATATTTTCATCCGTCTGGTACCATCTCAGATCAATACCATCCAGATCATTTTCATATTGCTGTGGACGTTCTGGCATCTGGCTGATGGACTCGGCGTTGATCCATTCGGAATCATATGGAAAGGCCTCCGAACTCGTAAGGCTCGTCATATCGGCAGAGGAATGTGTTGCTGTATGATAATATACATAATCCTGCTTAGATGTTAGTACCTTGGAGCTGCTGCAATCACTGGATGAACACCCACTTCGGATGAGGTAAAAGAGCTAGGAGGTACAGGCCACTCCATTATCTCATCGACCTCTTCGTTATTGGAAGTGGAATTCATAGTGAACAGGTCTTGAGAAGGTAAACGATGTCAGAGCATAGAGAATAGCTCTTGAACGTGAGTGGACAGGTCTCTTTCCAAGGTTGGAGAAGTAAGTGTAAATGATGTCAGAGCAAAGAGAACAAGAGAACAAGAGAACGGTGTTTTGGGATTGAGGGGAAAAAGGATGCTTAATCGATGAGAAGAAGAGAGTCCTTTTGTCCTACTTAAATAATATTGGACCCCCCGGCCTGCGCCTCCCCCCATCACCAGGGTGAAAAAGAAAAGAAATCCAAAAAAAAATAGAGTATAAAACCAAATGGGGAAGAGGGGGGGGGGGGGGGGTTAAGGGAGATTTTGGGTCGAAGCGATCTCTCCGCCCAAGAGCCTGGTTCTTGGGGAGGAACGAGAGAGGATGTTTCCAGTACGCTGGACTCCGTACAATACTGTAATTTGGTCCAAGAGAACCCGACTAGCAATGAGGCGGTCACCTTGCTTCGTGTCCAGGTGCGAACTGGGTAGCTTAAAAAAAAACAAGGCAACGAATCGACATTCACCTTACAATTTAAAGCCGTTGGTGTAAAGCTGTAAATGTTTAGGCCTATGAGACCGGATCTTTATCCTAACTCGCTAAAAACAAACTAAATGCAACCCTTACAGCATGTTGAGGTTACAACTCTGGCATCTTACATACTTTGAACATTCGCGGGGAAGGGAGGCAGTGCTTCCAAAGTGGTAAATAGAAAATAGTACATAGGGGATTTTTTTAACATCTTATTAACTAGCAGCCGCACGTGTGGCTTTGGTTAGCGCAGATCATCGGCAAGTCTACGTATTTCTACACTACAGAGTCTGGAGTGAGATGAGTTTCGAGGAAGACTGTGACGTAGGTATCGACTAGGATTACTCGAATATACAACATAGTTAAGCGATCATGTAGTGGATGGAATAAGACGAAAGAACTGCCAAGAAAAACGAAATTCAATGGGATTGAGATGGTCATCCACAAGACCGTGGTATAATTGAAGAGAACAAAACAGAACAAAAAAAATACAAAATACAAAAATATTCTATTGGGGCAATACTGATTATGCAGGCAGATCAACCCCAGTCATCCGTTGACCAACAATGAACGGCAATTGGGACTATGAAACCCAGACAAAATCAAAATCCCCGTATGAACCTTAGCTTTACTTATCGGTTTCTCGGAGTTAAAAGCAAAAGCTGGGAATATCTCCGACTAAACGATTAATGTCTCCGGGAGTATCGATTCGGCCTGGAGAAGCTCGGATGCTTGAGTTCCTTGTTCTGGGGAGACACGGGATATGTAATAAACGCAAGGCAATAGGATGTTTGAAAATGATCTTCGAGAAAATATATAACAGAAATCATCCACTAATCATATCCGAGTCCAAAGGATAGGCATGCAATCCGATAGATCCTGTGACGCACGGACTTGAGTATTGCCAGGACAGCTACGGAGTACATACTAAGGGACATGCCCGGGCAGACACATGACGTCCATCGTTTTAGAAATCCCTGGCAAGTTTTCTAGCATTTTGTTGGCAAGGCAAGAGCGGGGAAGGTAGTAAGGGCGCGAGACATAATGAATGAAAATACTGAAATCCAACCATCAACACTCCTGGAAGTGAAGCAACCTTGGAAAACTTTCCGGATTTGTCAGCTTTGTCATGGCAAATGGGATTAGAAAGCTCACGAGCAGATGATTTGAAAAGTAACCATGGGACCTGCATAACCAAGCATTACCGTTACAGGGGGATTAGGATAAACTAACCACCTCCTCTTCACGTTGCCAATGGCTAGAATGTAAACAGTGTTTTAATTAAGGTCGTGTTCAGTTGTCTATCATTCCAAACGGCAAGCCCGAACTCCTTTCGTTCCTGTACCAATCAACCCGTCCTTGCGCTCGGACGACAACCATCCTGGATTGTACTTTTGTCTTCTGCCCAGAAATCCTATGATACTTGGGCAACTTGTGGTGATACTCGCCACTGAAAATCCTCGCTTTGACCCTCCACCAGGCTTTTATTTTTATCGTTTTTTATTTACAGGTTGTCTCAAGACTTATTCTAATATTAAAATGGGGCTGCGTTGGAGAGGTGGAGATTAAAAAGATTAAATATTTATTAATTGGATACGAATAATTACACACATAAATTTTGGTAGAGAAGGAGAAATGGAAAAAAAAGAGAGCGAAATGGTATTGATTGTACTCTGTTCCCGTAGAGTTACTGATTTGGATCGGGTCGGGAACGGGATAAACCGACACTCAACCTACGCCCGTCCCACGGATCATCCAAAGTTGACTACATGGCCACTTCGACTTGAAGGAAATTTTGATCAAGGTGAGATACCTATCTACTGCTTGGTGTAACAAAATGGTAACGTAACTGTAACAAATTGTGCAATACGTCATGTATTGCCTGACTATAATCGCCTTGTTTAGATCTAGGGAAGAAAATAAAGAAAAAAGAACACAAATCTAAGCCGTACTATTCATAAATTTGCCCCTGTGCCTGCCAAAAAAAAAAAAGAGAGAGAGAGAGAGAGAGAGAGAGAACAAATTACAGACGAAGAAAGAATAAAACACAAATGATCGGCAAGACAGCCCCGGAGCCCCATTCCCCAAACCGTTAGTCAATCTACCCAAGTCTTTCCCTTCTAATAAGTAGCGCCCCAAACTAGAAAGATGAAACAGAGTCCCGATCTAGTTTGCCACCGAACTCCTCCGGAAACCCTTGTACAATAATTTGATACAAATCCCAATTTCAACAAATTGAGATAACCAAAGTCTAACGTTGAGGAAAGTAGGCGGCTTTGGTCGATGACCACGGATCCGACGAGCTGGGAGCATTCACCCACGCCCCAAACATAGATGAGGTTCCCTTCTGTGATTCGGAATTGGAGGCGAGTAAAGAAATCTGCGAAGCATCATTGTGGCCGCGGGAAGTAGTGCCTTGGGTAGTGGGACCGGAGGTTTTGGTCGTGAGCAAGTCAGACGACGAGGCTCTGAGAGGAAGTCAAGGTTAGCAGATAAAACAAAGAGACACACAATGAGATTCTTGAATATCATCAATGATAACTGTGGGAATTAGGGGTATTGGGGGATGTGCGGGTATTGACGGTATATGCTACCTATCAAGCTAGCGGGCTTACTTGTTGGAACTCATGTTGGCGGTTAATCACGGAAATTGTCTTTGAAAGCGTCGGTGAACTCGACTTTGAGGGAGGAAGGAATGAAGTGGACTGATAGGACTAGCAAGCTAAGGAAGCTACTCAATGGTAATGCAAGAGAGACTAGTTTAATGATTGCCAGTGCAGATTGCTGTGAAGTAGTCAAGGCAGGAGCTGTGAGCTTGAAGTGTGTGAATTTGATGGCTTTTCAGCAGAGGAGAAAGCATCTCTTATATGCCTAAATGGATTCGGGTTTTTGTTGATCATATCGCTGCCTGCGAAGGGGAACCTGGGTGTAAACCCTGGGTGTTTAGCATTGAGGCAGAGCAACAGCGAAGACGATGGCTTTCAAAAGAAATAGGGCGGGGGATCTGCGATCGGATTGCTAGTTTCTATATGTAGACATTTTCAAGAGAATTTTTAAGAAAATCAGTGACCAGCCTGCTAGAGCTAGAAGCTTAGAAGCTAACACGGCTTCCCTCTCTGTCTCTATCTCCTGTTCTCTAAAAAAGAAATAGAAAAGGGGGGGAAATTCACACAGAGAATCAATTCCTACATAAATCCACTAATAGTATACAAACTAGGAAATAATAGCTTGCTTGACCATTCCAGTCTGCCCTGGGCATGTACCGGGCGAAAGTCATCTGTCTGTAGCAACTAGCCCGCTGGGTTTATCATTGTTCCCTACCGATCTTTACTACCCGGGCTATATGTCTGCACCTGCCAAGCGTGACACATGAGCTTTATGTGTCTCGGCAGTGGCTTTTGAATAACAGTTCAATTCAAGTAATGTACAATTCAAGCATAGGTATTTTAAACCCTGCACCATCAGCCAAGCATGGACCCCAGTTCGCGCTATACCTACTTCGTACATCCTATTTAAGGCTAGATTTCGGCATGAACTGTGATTTATAGAGTTTAGTTCTGGAGTATGTGGCTGTGCTTGACCAATCCTATAGTAATTTCATCTACGGATAATTCAAGATATTTTGTCGATGCAATTCTGTAGGATGTATGTTGCGTACCCATACTCACCCAAACGCCCAAATTTTACCTTAACATTCACCTTCACCACTCAACAAAATAACCCACAACCCCGTCCTATGGGTGCTTAGTAGGGTGTGTAGAAAGTGGCGGTGTAGGGGTATTCACACCCTAACAATTCTAGCACGCCATTTCCCATACAATCTACATCAAAAAGTCATAGTTCGAGAAATCTACTCCGTAGACACTGACACATTCCATCGGGAAGTGAATATTAAGTATGCGACCAATCGATCTGCAAACCCGTGGGAGTAGTTTGCCACCGCTTATATCTTCCGATGTTAAAGTCAAAGGTGGACTATTCGAGTCTAGGCCATGCGAGACAGACTGGAACGCGGATCGCGGAGAATTTACCCTATGAAAGGAGAGACCTACGTTCGAGAGACATTCCTTACTATTCCTGTATTGCCTTGAAGATGGCTATTCACATCACATATTCCTAGGAAAAAGACATCGGGGGCGCAGTATATCCTACTCCTAGAACCATTGCTTTGAACCCGGGCTCTTAACTTAGAGCCCGGGTTCTCAGGAGTCCCAAGTATTTTCTTGTGTTTCAGGAAATCAAATTCTAGACGTCTATGCAATATTGAGTTTATGGGTGAAGGACCTAAGCCACGAAGATCTTTGAATATTGTTGTAGATAAGAGACCACAATCTAGACCGACCGAGATACAATAACAAAATATGTGATACAGAATATTGTTCTCTCCACTTTACGCCCCTCTTGACGTCATACATGGTCCGAAACACAACGGGCGTATTAGCGTATTCGCGTATTCGAGTATCGCAGCTAAACTTCTGGAAGCTTTCCGGGTTGGGCATAATACGCGATTATGGCGATCGGGCACAAAATATTCGAGGTATCCATTCACAGACCTCCTTATACACTCGCCCCAGGTGTGCGCCCGTGAGGTAAGGACATAAACCAAGCCAGTCACCAATCTAGGACGCACCACCGGGCGCTTCGATCAGAAGATAGAGAGTGATACAGGGGCATAAAGGGCTTACCGTAAATTTAAAATGACCGATAGACAAAATCCAAGTCGAATGTAGCTGCTCTTCGCTGGACAGGGACAGGATATAATCTAACGTCTAGAACTGGCTAGAGGCAGACCAACTATAGCTGAAAGCAGGGATGTGATACGAGAACCCTCTACCAGTTGCCAAATGTCGGTCTGGCTCTTCGGAGTTTTTTTTTTTTGATCGGATACCTCGCCTACACTGTTCTAAGGTAAGATTTTTGGTTGAAAAGGGTAGCATCGGCAAAAGCAGGAAAACAGAAATCGAGCTAAACAGGTGACCTGTTCGGGCACAGTCGTTGCCTGGGTACTTTTGGTATGATGATGCCCAACTTGGACCGAGGCAAATGCTTGTTAAAGCTATATAGCTTGACAGAGCTTATGTTCTGGTGGCGGTGCAATTAAACACGACTGCGCCCACTTAGCTATCCTCAGCGTCTGCAATGCGGTAGTCCTTGCAGTAAAGAAAATGTGGGTATTAGGAGCATGGATTTTTGCGTCATGGTCTGGCCCTTTCTTTTCTTTTCTTTTCTTGCTCTGCCACACTTGTGAGGGTGTCAAAAAAGTAGAGCGCCCGCCAATGCTCAGGGAGCTTCGTCCCGGAAACATAAATCCCGGACAAACAGCCAATTGACGCAGTGTTTTCACATACAGTCGATGAGGTCGGAGTAGAGACAATTGTTCAAATTCATGTGTAACTCCAAATCGTGTGTACACATACAGGTAGCCCGTTTCCGCTTCTATGCACAATACAAAAACAACCAGAAAAAAATACCCCCTTAGTCACGTAGGGAGCGGAGAGGAAAGTGTAATACAAGCGAAGTAGCATAAGAGCTGAAAAAAACAATGTAGGGTTAGGTTGAAAGCAAAGAGGACGGAGGATGATGTCGTGCCGCACATTCGCAGAATGAAGTCTTATCCAGTGAGAGATAGTTAGTACGTTGTGCCCATACTTCTTCTCGACTTTGCCATTGCCTAACAAGACGGTCGATCCCTGACATAGACGTGTCTGTACTGCTAAATGACGGTAGAGAAATCCGGTGTATAGCAGATGGCGAAGCCATCCTCACAACAGCAGTATCAATCATCATTCCGGATCATCGGTTTTCGTAGCCTTTAGATCTAGTTAACGAGTAGAATCATTAGGAATTGAAGTATGGACCATGTTTGATTAGAGTGGCTCTTGAGATGGAACAGCCGATCAAGGTCAAGAGTAAGAACAGCACTACGAACACAGGTCTAGAACAGTAAATCGAATCTTCAGGAGTTATGCCGAACCGGGAAAAATGTAGACATGAACTCGGAAATTTTTTGATTTTGTTTCATTCAGGGGAATCTATGCACAGGCGAGAGATGTGCCAGGGCATCCGAAACCCTTTGCGCTTCGTCTCATGTATCAAAGTCCATTTCAGTCTAGGCAAAAATGGAGTGAAAACCCAGTAAACACCTAACAACCGCACACACCGTTCCAATTCGATAGCGAGCCCTTTAAATGTGGGTATCGTAGGCGATGGGGACGACGGTCTCGGGCTTGTTGTCAGCCTGCTTGACGAAGTGGGCCTCACGGGGACCAACGGCCTGACGCTTCAGGTGAACGTGGACACCCTTCTCCTTGGCCTCGCGCTTCTTGATGGCGTTCTCCTTGACACGCTTGATGAAGTCCTCGCGGGAGCGGGAGTGCTGGACGTGCTCAATGCGGACGCTGATACGCTTCTCGAGGTAGCGGTTGTCGACCTTCTTGTAGAGGATGACACCGACGGCGGACTTGGTGACGTTGTAGACGACACCGGTCTTACCGTGGTAGACCTTGTGGGGCATACTGTTCAACTGTTAGATTTTCGTCCTGTCTTCGCGGGTTTCGCATTGCCCATGGTGTATGATCGCAGTGGGCGGTCGGGCAAGAGCGCTGGGAGGAAATTTCGGAATTGTACTGACCCCTTCTGGACGGCACCATTGACCTTGAGGTCGACAATATCACCAACACTATAAAAAAATATCCGTCAGATTTCAATTCTTGTCGTTTGTTCGAGGTTCGAGGGTTTTTGAGCGTACCGGTAGGTCTTCATGTAGGTAGAGAGGCGGATCATACCGGCCTCCTTGAAGCCACGGCTGAAGGCATACTGTTCGTCGTCTCGTTAGCACTTATCCTCCCTGAGGCCCAAAGGCCTATCCAGTTGATCCAAGTTGTCCTCCGAGTATAAAAAAAGACGTGTGTCGCAAAGGGAATCAAAACGTACCCGAGTGCCGGCGCGCAGACCGTACGAGTGAGGCATGACGGCGGTGTTGTGGTTGGTGCTGGTGGTTAATTGTCGACGGGGCCTTCAACACGAAAAACTAGAGTGTCGGATAACAATTTGTGGGATTTGCATGACATAATCATGTCTACCCTCGCTAAAGCAACGCTACGCCTCTTTCGGATTATTCGATCAATTTTCTAAATTGGGGTTAGCGTACTAATCAACCTTCAGCCAATCAAAAGCTTGGATTTCCCCAAGCCCTTCATCTTTCTCGAAGTCTACTTCGAGGTTGTTGTATAAGTATGCCATGCTTCTTCTTCCTCCCCTTTTCTATACTTATGTCAATTGTTCGGTAACCGCGAGATTTATTTAGTTTCTAACTGAATTTTATCCCATCTTAGTGCTCTTAATACCTCATATTGTGACTGGCACATACTAAGCATGAATCATCAAAAACGGCGAGCGTGCAGGTGGTAGTTTCGGTGCTGGCGGAGGGAATAATGGCATTATTTGACCAAACCATCACACCATGCTATTGCCAGATCTCGGAATCAGTATTTCCCTTCGACCTCCATGATTTGACTCGGGATATCCAACCCTCTTTCCCGACATACTCAATCTGATGTCCTTAGCCATATATCGGCTTAGCCTTGTCATCCTCAGATAAACATCTAGTGACATTCACGCCCTCTCGGTCTTATAGTTATAGTTCTAAATTCCAGAGTTCCAGGTCTCAAAGTGATCCTCACTTACAATATACGTACCTAAACCCAAGATGTCTATGGACGTTAGTTGGCCAGTACACTGACATGGCAACTACAGAATGACAATTGTCTAGCAGCCAGCAGCCAGCAGCCAGCAGCCTTAGACCCAGTCCCAGAAGCTAGAATATCACATAATTCACATGCCCTTGAACATCAGTGACCATTTTGACTGACTGCCATTTTCACCACATCGAAATTCTATACGGAGTAGTGATCACCGAGTCAGGAAGCTGGGGGAAAGAGCATCTAGCGCATTGATCATTGATTGCGATGGGCCGAATATGGAAGTTAAAGACGGCGAAAATGACTCAAATATTTTCGGCTCATATCGCCTTCGCCTGTTTGTTATGGAGCAGGAAACCATAATGCAAAACCCCAGTTTTGATGATCTACCCGATGCAACATCAAGAGAGGTCCCGAGTCAGAGCCATACATAAAATGTCCTAAATTCCACGCTGTGTTTGAGACAGCCAGCTGTCAAAAAATAGTACATCAAGTGATTTAGACAAATATATAGAACAAATTAGCTCAGGTGAGCATCCATGCCAGGCGATTGACGGCCGCGGAGGTAAAGAGTGGGACCACGGACCTGCCCAGGTGGAGAGGCTGTATGACATAATCAAGCTGACTTAATTATATTTCCTAATTAGGACTAGGGTAGGGCTCGCACCACACACACTCAAATTCTCATTTCATCCTTGACCCTTCGACCTCCCGTCGACAACCTCCGCCCATCTAACCGCAGCTATGGCCCCGTGAGTATATTAACAAAATCGAAGGCATCGCATTATTCTAATCAATTTCTGTGCAGTCGCGTTTCCTCCAAGACCTACAAGGTCCCCCGTCGCCGTAAGTGAATTTCCAACGAAATCATCAATTTGAATGTTTTTAGACTAACTCCATCACAGCCTTCGAGTCGGCCCGTCTGTTAGTACCCTCCGGCCACTAACCAGAAGCGTGCTTCTGGTTATGTCGTATTCATATTCCTAACATTTTTTTACTAGTGATGCTGAGCTCAAGACTGTCGGCGAGTTCGGCCTGCGCAACAAGCGCGAGGTGTGGCGTGTCCAGCTCACCCTCTCCAAGATCCGTCGTGCTGCTCGGTACGTTCAAAGAACAATCTGCGATTTCGCGAGGCTTCGAGTGATCGAGCCTATGCAAAATCAAATTTGGTGGAACATAGCGCTAATTTTTCATCTCCCCTACAGTGAGCTCCTTACTCTCGACGAGAAGGACCCCAAGCGTCTCTTCGAAGGCAATGCCCTCATTCGCCGTCTTGTCCGCATCGGTGTGCTCGATGAGGCCCGCATGAAGCTCGATTACGTCCTTGCCCTCAAGGCCGACGATTTCCTCGAGCGCCGTCTCCAGACCTGCGTCTACAAGCTTGGCCTCGCCAAGTCCATCCACCACGCCCGTGTCCTGATCAAGCAGCGTCACATCCGCGTCGGAAAGCAGATCGTCAACGTTCCCTCGTTCATGGTCCGCCTCGACTCCCAGAAGCACATCGACTTCTCTCTCACCTCTCCCTTCGGTGGTGGCCGCCCCGGTCGCGTTCGCCGCAAGAAGGCCGCCGCCGCCGCTGGTGGTGATGACGCCGAGGAGGAGGAGGAGGAATAAATTATTCCCTATATTCCCCAAAAAATGGAGTACGGTCGGGTTTCGCTTGGGGCGCCTTCACACCATGGAGGTTCAAAATGACTGCATAGCGTCTCATGTTCTACGATCATGCAATACAATGAATCAAAAACAGCCGAAAGGCTTCAATTTGGAACCCGATTTAATTCGATTTCCATGCTTTCGTAACTTAGAATTGTAATATTAATGGACCCATATATGTACAGTAGATCCCAAACGCCATTATTCCCTGATCCCCACCCACCTAAGATAAGCTCAATCGTTCGTCCCTCGTGTCATCGTACACAAGCCTGGGCTTGGCCTGCAGACTATTATGCCTGTGTCCCCACCAATTCTTTCAAGGTCTCTTCTGCGCCCCTGTACCAACGTCCCATCTCTTCTAGTCCATCACTTTCACCCTGTTGCTTTTTGCGTTGCGCTTCACGGGCTTGCGCGATCGCATCTGACTTCCGACGCTCAAGCACGCTGCGTTCCCTCTCTACTGCCTCGGCCTCTCGGGTCTTCCGAGGCAATGTGTTGTGCACAGCAGCCAGCTGGCGGTTCAACGCTGCCAGCTCCGCCTCACGTTCCGCCAACAGTGCCAAGGTCGCGGGAAGAGGAAGATTCTGCGAGGAGGAAGTACTGTTAGGATTGGAAGGATCCATGGTGGCTACCTGCTTGGCGCGGAGCTCGGCGATTGTTGACTCGAGATTATCGATTGAAGCAGGCAGCGTTGAAAGTTGTGTAGTTTGAAGCTCGACATTCTTGTAACCTGTCATGGTCGCGGAAAACACTTCAGTCAACATGTTCATTTTCAAATCGTAGGCCACTCACGGCTTGCTAGGTCACGGCCCATTTGCTCCATCTCTTCAATCATAATCCGGGCGTCTTCTTTCCGTGCCTTGAGCTCGGCTTTCACGTCCGCTAGTTGCGTCTCCAGTTCCATGTTCTCATTGTGTCCGACAATCATAGGCGGGTCGCCAACAATGGCGCGCAAGAACTTTTCTTTCGTTACTTGCTCGAGGTAGGAGAACCGCAGCTTGGAGAATAGTTCCTATGCGAAAACATCAGTATTTGCTCGTCTGGGCAGCGAGAATTCGCAGTATTCGGGCTCATCGCACGGACTTTATAGTGTGCAAGATCAGCCTCCAACAAGGCAGGGGTAGGATCGTCGAAATTTGAAACTGAAACATCTGAGGTTCTTTTTGAAGGAGACGGGTAAGATCCTCCAACTTCAGTGGAAATTGGCTCACTGATGCGAATAATCGCGAGTCGGTCTTTCAGGTTACCATTCTTCTCCAGCTGCTGAAGTGCTGCAAGGGCTTCAGATGATGAGTTTGCCATATTGATAGGGCTTGGTTATCGGAAACCTGGCTATGAAAAGGGAAACCGACGGGGTTGGCGATTGTTAGAGAGCTTGGAGGGGCCGAGTCCACAGGCATAACATTTGCGGGACAATAAACAGCCCTATATCAAAGGCGGTCAGTCCAACTTTTGGAAGGCGCTTTCGTCTTCGCCTCTCTTGCTTCTCATTCAACTGAACAACATTCCGTCTTTGTTTTATTCAATATGTACTAGCGTATATATTTGCTCTTTCTTTGCATTCCTCGCTTTCCTCGGTACACTCCTTCGACACCCTTGGAGTCTTGCGATCTGCGGCTCATCTGTATCATGGACGACGATTATGTTGCGCAGATCCTGGCCAAGGAGGCTAAGGAGAGTTCTATAAAGTATGCATCTCAAGGAATGAGTGCTTTTATGCCTTCAAGGTCGGTTTGCTTTCATGGTTTACGGGTTGCATAAGTACAAGACTAACAAACACCTGCAGACCGACAAGCAATGCCCCAAAACCCAATACCCGCTTCCTACGAAATCTCATCAAAGTAACAGACAATCATAACACTGCTCTCAAACTCAAAGAGGAAAGAGAGGCACGGGAGCGTATGCGCCAATTGAAACACCAGGCCTCGGGTGCTTCAGGTGCTTTAGCTCCAACATCGACAGACCGTTCTTCCAAACGATCTGATGATCGGAGTGAACTGCGAGGATCAAGAGACCATCGGAGAAGAGATCGGGAAGATCGAAATCATTCACATCGAAAAAGAACTCGAAGTCGCTCCCCTTCAGCAGAACGAGACAGGTCGCGGAGGCATCGACGAAGAAACGAAGAGTATGGCGGAACTGGAGAGAGAGACAAAGACCGCGATGAACATCGGCGCGAACACAGAGATCACGAGTCATCTAGGAGAGATCGACGGGACAGAGATAAGGGACACGCCAGACGGCGACGTGAGCGATCATACTCGAGGTCTCCAAGTCGTTCTCCGCGCACGGATCGAAGTACCGACTGCCATCGCCATCGAGGACAAAAACGACAATCTGGACATTCTACTCGCTCCCTTTCCCGTTCCCGCTCGCCAGAGTCGTACAAATCTCGTCGGTCAAAGCGGGAAGATTCATCGCCACACGGTTCTCGCCGTTCTCGCTTTGAAACCAGTACGCGACAGAAACAATTATCCCCGTTGTCTACTATAACTTCACGCCAAAGTGATATGGGCAACGAATCCGATCCCCTAGAAGACCTTGTCGGGCCACTTCCTCCTCGACAAAACGAGGCACCTATCCGCTCGCGTGGGCGAGGTGCCTATAAACACAATATGAGCAATATCGATGCTCACTTTGCACCCGGCTACGACCCGGCTACCGATGTGCATCTAGATGAAGACAAATTACACTCCATGGGCCAAGAATCCTCTCGTCGTCCTGTCGCGGGGCTCATGACAAAGGACGACGACTGGGATATGGCAATGGAGGCGCTGCGCGATCGTGAACGCTGGAGGAATAAGGGCGAGGAGAGGCTACGTACAGCAGGAATCGACGAGGCAGTCATTAATAAATGGAAGAATAACACCGCTTTTGCGGGCGTGGACGGAGAAGGCAAACCGGAGGATGTACAGTGGTCGAAGAAAGGCGAAGGGCGGGAATGGGATCGCGGCAAGTTCGTGGATGACGATGGCCATATTGACATTCGAGCTGCTTGGTAGTGTCTCTTACTGGATGTTTTGATAATTGGCGTTCGAGGACTACTATGGATGATACCAAGTTGTTTATTATACCTTTTTTTATTTTTATTTTTATTGTTTTATTTTTGGCTTAAATAAAGAAAACTGAAATATCCATGAACTTTGTTTAAGTTATAAAATATAGCATAAGGGTATAAGATTCTTCAATATATCAATGTTTTTATAGTTATTGCCTCGAGATGATATAAATATATTTCGCAGGGACGATAGCATGAAATCTCAATTAGAAGGGTTGATTAAGCAACTAATGTTTCTAAATAAGCAGCATGACCAACAAGCTAATAATTAATAATCGATAGATGTTAACTAGTGTTCTTGTAAAAAGCGTAGTTGATGTACAATTATATTGTATACGTAGTTGACCTTGACCGGTTCCGCGGCTTTGTCAAAGTGCGGAAATTCCCCCGCGGCTTATCACAGATTTGAAAGATGATGGTACTCCAGCGTTAACTGACGACATTTAATACCATAAAGATTGGCTAATGCTTTGAGACATTTGCGTTACTCAACTCGATTATTTGCATCGATTTTCAAGCGCCCCGAGCAATCCAAGTTATATGCCACATATACCTGTAGTCTCACCTATTTCTTTAAATACTCACTATTCTCCTCTGATCTTCTTCAATAACCCCCAATCTACTCACAATGTCAGATCCATCCGCCTACTCATACCCATCTCCATTGGAGGGGTACGAAAACCTCGAGCCACTGTCCGAGTAAGTGTCCCCCACAACCACATCGCACGCAAGATACTTATTTTTCGCTGTAGCGAGCGCGCCGAAGACGGCAAGTCATTTAAGAACCCTCAAAATGGCGTGTTGAGCAAAGCCTACTCGGAATTCCCAGACCCTCTTTCCAAAGGCCGAGAGGGAGGCTTCGACGTCCACATCTATCATTTCCAAGTACGTGCTGCCACCACCCATCGCGGACAGCAAACCCAAGCCACAAAAAGGCTAACGCGTCGACTAGAACAACCCTGACCAAGCCGCATTTGCTAAAGCGCTCTGGGAACGAATTAGACGAGAATGTAAGTAACACATCCTTCTAGTCCAGGAACTGCATCGTCTGGCTGTCTCCTGTGGGGCTGCGTTGCCATTCCAATTGATCACTTGCTTACAATTTTAAACAGTCCCCGAGCTTCGGATTTATACTTTCTTCGACCGCCCTATTGGCCCTCACCCGGTAGCAATGTTCGAAGTGAATTTGTTCACACCTGCGCAGTTTGGAGCTTTCGTTCCTTGGTTGGTTATCAATCGGGGTCCGCTTAGTGCTCTCATTCATCCCAATACAGTGGCCTCAGAGGATAAGCGTAATCATACCCAACGCGCGACTTGGCTTGGTGATCGGATTCCGTTGGATTTGAGGGGTTTTAACAAGAAGTGACAGAAAGGGGAGGGAGAGGAGGCTGATAAAGCACCGCTGGAGAGGTTATAGGATTCATGTTATATTATCAAGGTACATTAGTAATTCCCAATCCATGAAGAGTTGTATAAAGAAAAGTCCAGTTCACTACATGGTAGTACTATTCGGCCGTACTTGGCATCCTCCGTACTTTCCACCTACGTCGCTAAGGCGGAAACCTCTGGCAGAATGCACTTTCCACTCCAGATCGTCACAACCGAGACTAAGTATAATAAATAGTCTATATAGCCGTACCACTTTATTAGAAAATAAGAGTGGAACTTAGTATTATATTATATACTAGTTCTTTAACGAAAGAGTGCATTCCAACTAGAATACTAAGTATAAGGAGTAAGAGAAAGGAAACAAAAGATCCTCTGTGATAAGATCTTTTGTGGGTCCTATATCGGCAAGCAAACAAACAATATAAACTCCTCAAGCCGGCATGACACAGAATCCACTTTCCACTTTCCAGATCGTCACAAGTACTGCAGGACTAGTGATAACGAAAACCTATAGAGGGGTATATGTACGGTCTAACTCAGATATATTGGCGCTGAAGATTATGCTAGAAAGTCTGAGAGCGGCGATAAATCATAACACAATCACCCTAGGTCCCTTCTCGAACTCGTAGAGATCCCCACTCAAGTTTTATGCCTTATGGCCATATACATCTTTCTCAGTAACACTATTCGGATCGCCATTTAGATAGCTTGGCCTCGCTCTCCAAATCTCCATTTCATGAACTATTATCCGCCGCTATTGATAGGGTTGCTAGCTGGGTAATTATGTACCGGTCACGATCTTCAAGGGGCAGTATCAGAAAAGTTAAGTTCCATAATTGGCCCCACTTTTCCCCTCCCCCATCAAAACAACTCCGAATGTTCAATCGGCTGTATCTCATTAAATATAGCTCACTATATACTCCGGAGTGAATCGGGGGTAGATAACGTATATAATTAAAACATCTGAAAATCTAAGCCTGACCGGCCTTGACTGAACATCCCATGTCACCGTGGGTTTGTTCAATCCATATGGCCGTGGACCAACTCTTTTCGCGCCATAGTTAAGCGGAAAGCCCTAATCCATATCACCGTGATATTGATGCCCCCCGTGAGATAGAGCTTGGCCTCCTTTACCTCCTGAACGACTTAGCGTCTGGGCTCCTCGCCGCCCCGCCCTGCTATATTTGATCGCATCTGCAGATAAGCCGGCAATAATTCTCGATATTCCCTAGAGCACCTGAAAGAGGTCCAGGAATAGTATTGATCATTAGGCAGGGCTCCTTGTGGGTTGGAGCGAGAGTGCTCCTAAATTCTGCCGAGCCCGGTGCGGTTAGTCTGGTGGACAGTGGTTGCCCAAGTCGCAAAATACCCCGCTCTTGACCCTTCAGCCTCACTGGAGTCCTGAACATGTAAGATAAGCGAAGAAGAAGCGGATGATAATTGTATTCTGTTATTGTCCAGATAAACTCAACAACACCATCTACTCTCCATGGCGAGCCGTCCGGTGAAGTCCCTCTCTTACGATGCGTACACCGTGGCCATGATTTGTCCGTTAGAGGTGGAAATGAGTGCTGCCCGATATATGCTAAGTGAGGAACACGGAAAAATACCAGGAGAGCGACATGACACCAACCATTATATTCTTGGCCGACTTAGTGGGCATAATGTGGTCATTGCCTCTCTGCCACTGGGCTCTCAGGGTACCGTCTCTGCGGCAACCGTTGCGATGCATTTGGCCCGAACCTTTCCCAACATCAAGCTACGGCTGTTGGTGGGAATTGCTGGAGGTGTTCCGAGCCCGAATAACGATATTCGATTAGGCGATGTAGTGGTGAGCACCCCATCTGGCTCTTTTGGTGGCGTGGTGGAATACGATCTGGGGAAGCAGACTCCATCTGGCTTCGTACGCAAGGGGTTCCTCAGTCCCCCTCCGACAGAGTGGAGAGGTGCAATAGCCAGAATGAAGTCAGATCATCGGGTTCACTCTAATAAAGTGAACGATTTTGTGGCGGAGATGTTGGTAAAATTTACCAGATTGGCCGAGTATAAACGACCGCACCCCCAAGAGGATATTCTATTCAGCTCAGACTACGAACATAAAGTAGGAGAGTCTACGTGTTTAAGTTGCGACCCTGCAAAAATTGTGCATCGCGAAGCACGCGACATCTCTTATGAACCGGTGGTATTTTATGGACTGATCGCGTCCGGGAACCATGTCATGAAGCATGCCATCGAGCGAGACCGAATCAGCATGGACTGCGATGGAGTTCTGTGTTTTGAGATGGAGGCTGCGGGGCTCATGAACGATTTTCCCTGTATCGTTATTCGAGGGATTTCCGACTACTGCGACTCTCATAAGAATGATGGTTGGCAACCATATGCGGCAGCAGCGGCAGCAGGAATTGCCAAGGAACTTCTAGGCTATCTGGTACCAAGCAATGGTTTGTATCCAATAATAGCCATAAAAAAACAAGCAAGCATTAGACGACCTCCTGCCTGGGCGCTGACCAGTTGGTATGAACAGTGCCTCTTGCCGACGACGATCTTACCGCCGCATGCCTCCGGCATCTCTTTATAACAGACCCAGAAAAGGACAAGCAGCGCATTGAGGGTGATAGAGGCAATCTGCTCAGGGATTGCTATTCATGGATTCTTTTCGATCCTCAGCTCAATGCCTGGCGAGAAGCGGAACAGGGTCAGCTACTGTGGATCAGAGGCGGCCCGGGCAAAGGAAAGACCATGTTGATGATCGGCCTAGTGCACGAAATCACAGTGCACCTGGAGTGTCAACCAGAAGCTGGTATTCTGACGTACTTTTTCTGTCAAAGGAACCTTTTTACCCTAAATAATGCCCTTTCAATCCTCCGTGGACTCATCTGGATGATTGTTGATCAAGACCGGCCTCTGATGCGACACATCCTGGTGGAGTATGAGAGATTTGGCGAGAGGCTCTTCGACGGTCCTAACGCTTTTTTCGCCCTCCGCTCAATATTTCTCAATATATTAGAAGATGCAGGGCTCTCCACTTTGTACATCCTCGTTGACGCAATTGATGAATGCGACACTGGGCTGGATAACTTCTTGCACCTGGTCGTCCAGAGTACTTCAGCGTTGTCTTCCAAAGTGAAATGGATTCTGACCAGCCGCCACCGACCAGATATTACGCAGATCCTTGGAGAAAACGCTTTACAGCACCATATAGATATGGAGGCAAACGCTAGGCTTGTTTCTGAGGCAGTCCACACCTTCATTGCCTATAAAATGGACATTTTATCACAAGCGAAGTCTTACGATCCCGGCCTAAAGACTCATGTAGAACGCGTCCTACGTGAGAAAGCCGGTGACACTTTTCTATGGGTGGCGCTGGTGTGCAATGAGCTAACGAGTGCCGAGAGCTGGGAGGCCGAATCAATCGTGGAGGAGCTTCCCTCGGGTCTTCATCCATTATATAATCATATGCTGTCTCAGATTAAGAACCTGCGCAAGGGTCAATCCGAGATTTGCTACAGGATCCTCCGTTCAATGACGTTGACCTTCCGTCCCGTCTACCTGGAGGAGCTGCAATCCATTACTTTTCTCCCGCCCCGTTTGGCGAACAACATTCAGGCCTTGAGAAACACGATTGAATTGTGTGGGTCATTCTTGACGATCCAAGGGAATCAAATCTACTTTATTCATCAATCTGCGAAAGATTACTTGACCACTAGCTGTGGACAGCAGATCTATGACGCTAATAAGACGGAAGAGCATTGCAAGATTGTTGTGCAATCCATGAAGACCATGTCCCAAGTTTTGAAGAAAGATTTGGCAGGTCTCAAATACCCGGGGACTTTAATTTCGAATCTCCCAGCTAGTAGAATCCCAAGTGGTATTGCCTACGCTGTGTGTTTCTGGATTCACCATCTCCTGGAGTTCATGTCCAGTTCTTGCAACTCCGAAGGGGCTGGTGATCTACTCGTATCTGTGCATGCTTTCCTACAATCTCATCTCCTCCATTGGATCGAGGCGATGAGCCTTCTTGGGAAGGTATCCGATGGGCTACTGATGATTACGCAGTTTAAGTCCTGCCTGAAGGCATGTTACTTGCTCATTCTGGACGAGGCTAAAATATTGACAATACCTAGGTCTTCATGGATAAAGGTCTATTCCACTTCATACATGATGCAAACCGTTTTCTCTTACAAAGCCGCTCAGTTATTGAAGAGGCTCCGTTACAAGTGTATTGCTCGGCACTTGTCTTTGCCCCGGAAAAGAGCATAATCCGGAATCAATTCAAACACTACATGCCCGACTGGATCCGCAGGGTATCCACTGTGCGAGAGGATTGGAGCTCACTGATTCAAACTTTTGAGGGCCATAGTGGCTGGGTCAATGACGTAGTTTTCTCGGTCAAAGGGGACCTTATTGCATCTGCGTCAAACGATCATACGGTTCGTCTATGGGATGTCACCACAGGCTCAGCCCAGGCGTCGTTGGAAGGCCACACTGATTTGGTGAAGACTGTTGCCTACTCTCCTAATGGTCATCTCCTGGCTTCTGGTTCTAACGATCGCACCATCCGATTGTGGAATCCAAACACAGGGGCTACCTGTGGTATTCTGCGGGGACATACCAGCCCAATCAATTCTATTGCCTTTTCACCAGATAAAGTGCACTTAGCCTCTGCATCGAACGATCGTTCTGTGCGAATATGGAACACTGCAAGAATGTCATCTCGGCATGTTCTCTGGGGCCATAAAAACTGGGTAAATGATGTTTGCTACTCATCAGATGGTTGCGTGCTAGCAACCGCATCTGGAGATGGGACAGTTCGACTGTGGGACGCAGAATCTGGAAATCTCCGTTCCAAATTCAGAGGAGGTATGGGCTGGTTAAATTCAGTTTCCCTTTCCCATGACAACATATTAGCTGCTGGTTCTGCGAACGGGCTTCTCTACCTCTGGGATATCAGCACAAAATCCTTGTGTGCTACTCTTGGTGGCCACTCTAGTAGCATCAACAAAGTCACATTCTCGCTCGACGGACGCCTCATCGCGTCTGTATCCAACGACCGCATGGTGAGACTATGGCAGACCGCACAGCCTCACGCAGTCGCCACTCTGGAGGGTCACATAGACGCGGTGAAGGCGGTTACATTTTCGCCGAACGAGAATCTTATTGCCTCTGCATCGGTAGATGGCACGGTGCGAATTTGGGATACTGTGAAAACATCGTCATTCAGAATCCTAGAACGGCATATGGATACCATCTACGGGGTGGCCGTATCCCCAAATGGGCAGTTGACAGCTTCTATATCCAATGATAATACTGTCCGCTTATGGGATATGCTGACAGGGTCACCACTTACTGTAATGCACCGGGGGCATTGCGACAATAGCCCTGGTGCTGCTTGGTCGTCCAACATTGCATTTTCATCGAACGGTCAGCTGCTGGTGGGAACCTGGGATGATTCTGCGATCTGCCGGTGGAGGGCCTCCCGTGAGGGTATCGAGAATTGGGCATACTCCGGTTGGGAGGAGGGCAAGGTCTACCCGGTTACCCACGTTAGCTTCTCTCCGGATAATCGACTTATAGCATCACTCTCTTCTGACGGGATTGTCCGGATATGGGATGTTGCGTCAGGATGGACGCGCACGACATTTGCAGGTCACCAGGAAGCTGTCAATGATCTTAAATTCTCACCATGCAGTCAATACGTGGCATCTGCATCTAAAGATAGTTGCATTTGTCTCTGGGAAGCAACAACCGGGGCTTTAATTGCCCGTTTCGCGGGACATCGAGCGAGTGTGAATGCTGTTGCATTTTCTTCAGATGGGCAGCATATCGTATCTGGCTCCACCGATAACAAGGTGCGAATATGGAACGTGGCCGCAAAGCAAGTCCAGACCATTTTGAAAGGCCATTCAGCGTCGGTCGAGAGGGTAGCCTATTTTGATGGTGATAGACTTGTTTCCTCAATCTCAGCAGGTGGTAGAGTGATTATCTGGTGTGTCGCTACGAGTTCCGTTGAGAAGGACATTCCAAGCCCACAGCACGGTCAAAACTTTTTCTCTTTGAATTGTCAATTCTATGCATGCAGCTGCCAGCCACATCCAGGGCTACATCTTCATGATATGATGGCAGGCAGCAGACGATACTACGAGACACCTTTTGACATCTCGGGTAACTTTGCGTACGTCAAATTCGTGTCGTTCTCGAGGGACAACGAGGTCATGGCCTTGATATTAAGCGACGATACCATCCATCTACGGAGCACCACTACATCGCAGAGGTACTGTACCATCAACATGAGTCAGACCAAGGTTTCGCGTGACAGCAGAGTAGACGACTTGAGCAGACTGGATCCGGGACCCCAAGCCACGACTATTAGCATGGTGGAATTCTCACCACACAGCGATCACTTTCTTTGTGTGTCGCGGAATTCCGTATACGTTTGGGATGTCGTCACTGGGGGCCTCCGCAGTACTTTTTCTGGGCACTCAGATATCGTGAAGAACATCTCTTTTTCCCCTGATGGGCATTTGATTGCCTCTGCATCTTACGATGGCACTATCCGGCTCTGGGACATTGCGACGGGCATGTTACATCATATGATGGTAGTCAACGGGAGCAGTCATGGTGTCTTTTATGGGAATGGGTTGTTCGATAGCCCTGTTGTTTGTCGGTCAGGTGTTCGTCAGTTAGGTTTTCGTCGGTCTGGTGTTCGTCGGTCAGGTGTGGGGGGTATAGGAACAGATTCCGCCTGGGCTCCAATCCGCCGACGCTCCTTGTTTGTCACCAATCCATGGATAACGTACCGGATGGACCGCATCCTATGGCTACCCGTTGAATATCGAGCTACTTGCGTAACTGTTCACGTAGCGACTCTTGTTTTGGGCCATTCCTCCGGTGAACTGACTGTCATTGAATTCGATGTGAGCCGTATTCCGGTCCGTGCAAGCTGAAAAACTGACAAGGTATTTCTCTCTAATTTCATGAGGACAATTGACATGTCTCTGATGGTCGATGACTATTTTGTTGTTTCTTGATCTAATGTATGACGCATTGACCCAGTGAAAACTGGCCTGAGTTCCTAGCGTATTTCATGCATTTGATATATTGATCTGATCCCATGCCTATTCTATGGGACTAATCATGGTCTACTAGACTAGAATGAGGGATTCGTCTTTGAGGGGAAGAGGTGGGTCGGAGTAGACTAGAACTAATTTTCAGGAGCAGACCAGAATATATTGTATGGGTCGTACAAGGCTCAAAAGTTTAGAAGTTCTAACTTACAAAGTCTGAACATAGACAAGTTTATAACCAATCCACACCAAACCAAAGCGCATTGGCTCAGTCAGATGTTGAACTATCTCAAACAGCCCATGCACTCCTCAGGAGTATTATAAAGGAATACTTGGTCCCTCGTGCTACCGTATCCCAGTATCATCTAATCTTTCTGCTGGCTGACGACTTCCGTATAAACACCGTGACAGCCCGAATTAATCTTTGGCTGTCACCGCATTAGAGTACGATAATAACTCACAAGGGTTGGTATTTGCGCGGGTTTCGAGTTCGAGAAGCCTAGATGTAGTCGTCGGAGAGTACCCTATCTTCGCATTTCAGCACAACTTTCTCAGTCCATAGAGTAGTAACACGTAGAGGCTGCAGATCTATAAGATCCCTGATTTCTCGTTCGGGGTTCGTCGCTAGAGATAGTTTCTAGGGTGTCCATTCAAGGCCTCCACCTAAATGGACCTTTGTAAGGCTTGGAGGATCGCATAACTTTTACGTCATTGAAGGGATAGTGCGTTGTGTATTAGTGCATTGAAACGAAGGAACGGAGTGAAAGCGGTTGCAAATTGAGAGTCTACGCGAGGCTGACTTGAAAGCTGAGTTCAATGTCTTCAAGTGCCTTGGACGAGGATAATCACACACGAGAATTGCTGAAGTCGAGCGCTCTCGGTGGTCTCTAGAATACTTGCCCACACAAGCGCGAGTGCATTTGGCGGGAGGAAATAGAATAGAAGCTGCTGCAGAGCGACTGGATTCACTCGCTGCGAGCGCATCTCAACCTCCCGGGCCGTAGCATTCAGCCGGCTGTGGTCAAAGCTAGCAGTATAATGATGGACAAGTGAACCGTCGTGATGGCGATAGATTGCAGGGAGGAGTATTTGGTCTATCCAAATCCGAAAGTCATCATCACAGAGGCAGCTAGATTGCTGCTCCTCCCGGTATAGCTGCGGGAATAGGAAGCAAAGAGAGATATCCTCGAAATCCGACTAGCCGCCCAAATGTATAATGCGGGATCTTATGCACCGGCAGTCGGACGTGATGAGCGCGACCATTGCTTCCAATATATTATATAGGAAGAGGATCAAGGTGCAGACCCGAACGAAGATCAGAGACGGGCATCTGAGTCGAGTTCTACCGGACTCCAAGTTTAGCCACTGCTAGGCTATGCAACAATCCCACGATACTATCGATATCAAAAGTCACCGTGGTCGGGCGTTCCGGCTCATGGTCGGAAACAAGGCCGAGGTGCAATGGACCAGCGTCAGGCGTGGCTGAATTGATACCAGTATAGATCTCCCGTTTTCGGTCTGTGCTGGTCTGTCCGGCTAGGTTGTCCTCTCGTCTAGCCATCGTCGCAGCACTAAGAACATCCGGGTATCTCCCATCTGCCTGAATCCGGTCTATATACTTTCCTAGGCTAAGATGCTCCGTATGATGCATTTGATGCTCACTCTCCTGCTGCGTATGGCACTGGTGGCAGCAGCCATGGTGTTGTTGGAGTTGGTCAGTGAGAATCCGGGCCAGTTTATGGATATCACTAGCCGTGTTGGTTGCAACGTCTTCCGATTGCTCGGGACTAGAACCGGAGCCTCGTTATTGTAAGACATGCTCTAGCAGCAACAGGATTCGAACAGAATCGGAGGGAGGCAGTATGAATGAGAAAAAGAAGGTCTCACCTAGCTGAAGCGGAGACGCAGGGTTGATGAAGATTCATCTGTACTAAAGTACGACGTGAAGGAAGGAAGGGTACCACTTGGGACCCACGGTGTTTGAGCGTAAAAAGCCGGTTGTCGAATGTTCACTGTCGTTGACCTTGTCTCGCAAACTGTTTGGCCAAGTATAGCCCGAAGCAGCCTCGATTTTCCTGAATACAACCGGCCCTTGGATGATGGCCAGTGCTCCGAGAGGGACTTCTAAATTAACATCTCTCAAGACAATTTTTGCCGATGAGGATGGGCGAATGCTGAGATTTTTCATTGAGATGACAGGTGTTTGAAGGTTGGTTGTGTCTGGTGGGCCCTTGAAAGACATGTATTGCATTTCGGCGATGTGCGGAGATGCGTCAACTTCCGTTTCTCTCGTGCGATAAAGGCCCTCCGTTGTGTGTTGAGGACTGGTTTCCAGTAAAATAAATGTTTGTACTCTATCAAAGGATCCCGACGAAGCCGCTATGGAAGGAATCGCACTCAATAGCTTCGAGGCCGGGTTAGTCAAAAGAGTTATAATGGACAAACTACTGAACGCCTTGGTAGCATTCAGCTCCTTTCCTTGGGCAGCATAGACTACGAAGGTCAAAGCTGGAGCTAAGGCCCAAGGCAGATTCTGGATCATATTCTTCCAGACCACACTCCATCGGTACGTGGCCATTTGATGGGTTTCTTCAGCCCTTTTTCTCTGTACAAGCCGAACAAAGGTTTGAGATAAGCCAGTCGCTTTGATAGTTTGGATACCGTCCAGCAGTGAGCGGGTGATTGATATGCGTTGCTGGACAGCATCCACCCATACTTTCTGATGTCCCCCTATATGCTTCGAGATATAGATACTTCCGCCACTAGAGACTATTATCAAGTTCCAGCAAATAGTTTCATATGTGAATCGAAAAGGGAATTCTTACTGAGAACGATTGTTAATGGCATTAGGCAAACTCACCCTAACTGGAGCGCGAGTAGCGCAATGCCAATGCCCACTTCAATCGTCCGCGCCCAGAATTCATTCAAAGTGATTAGACTGGCAATGATCCGGTCCACGTCGGTAGTCATTAGAGTCACCGTAGCAGAACGATCCCCTAGAGTGCCATCGGGGATGTGTAAGGCATGATCGTAGATCATTGATGAGGCCGTCCCTCGAAACATTGTCACCAACCGATATAACATCTGGTCGTATATGAGGTTTGAGAGGGCCATTCCCAAATATATTAGAAGTTTAGCGCCGATGAGGCCGTAACCGAGATTGCTCGCGCTATGTGAGTTATCAAGCCAGTTGAGAACAGATGCGATCAAGAAGGGTTGTGAGAAGGTAAATCCGATCAAGAATATGCGTGGAAGTGCCATCAAAGCAAGTGGACCTTTGAACGCTCGGCACATCTGCCATGGGAATTCCAAGCGGCGCTCGGGATGCCGGCGTAGAGCCCAAGCGGTCCGATCGTTCATCTTTCACCCACGACAAGACCACAATTTGCATGGCCACTACCAAGTTAATTGCACTTGATGCGACAGAGAACTTCGCAGTTGGCCGAGTTTTCTTTGCCCAGCTGATCAGCAGGGCGAGTTGAATCGCGGCGAAAACGAAGGCAGCTATCTGAGGTGAAATCGAAATTACCTCGTGTTTGACTCCGAGTAGTGATGTGAAAGTGCTTACCGACTTTGCCAATCTCATTTTGTGAGGCTGAGTGCGCACATCTCTCTTGACTAGAATTCGCAATCGAAAGGGACACACGAGGAGAGATGCGACCGCACGAACGAGGCCAAGTATGGCTTGTTCGAACAATAGCGTAAAATCAAAGCCATCATGGCACGCGCTATCTACTACAGGGCCGAAACTGTTATCAGTCTGGAGTCGAACAATGAAAGACAAAATAAAAATAAAAATAAAAATAAAAAATGCTCAAGTTTACCCAGCAGTGTATACTCTCAACTACGAACGTATTAAGTAGGTGGGAGAAGAATTCGACGTCAAATACTAGTAATCAGTTCGATTCCAACAATTTTCTTTGATCATGGGATTTACACGAGAGGATATCTACACTGACTTGGGGAAAGAGGTTGAAATATATTCTCAATTGGTGACCGATCCGAGCTGCTTCATAGTTAAGCTTCATGGTACGACGGAAAAAGGCTAACTACGCTAACTGATAATATGATGTGTAAAGCAAATACATAGAATTAATAGAGTAAAATCGCCAAAGCTAGCGTTGTAGTCTTGTATATAGTCAAATAAAATGATTCCTGAAGGCTTGTAGTGAGTTGAGTGAGTTTCAAATTTCACACCTTCCTATACTTTAAACTACCCTCCAATACTCCACTCCATCTGAAGACGTGAACAGATTAGAGTACAAGCTACCAATAGGGTAAAGAGAGATCATCACAGCGTGTTATATTGAGGAATGTCAACGGCAGTACAGATACGCGATGCTATTGGTGAACCATACCATTCTATACGTCTAACCCGAGGAGCGCCATGCACACATCAGGGTCCCCAAGACAAATAAAAATTACAAATAACAAATAACAATATCCATCGGGAGGCTATATCACTACAAGCAACTCAACCTAATTCGACCCCATCCCGAACTTTTCGTTGTGATGGGTCCACGGGCAGGTGACATCGTCAGCCCAACAGCAATTTAGAGCAATGATCTTCAGCCATGAGATCTGGCTCGCAGATCGCACTATTATTATGACCAGCAAGCAACAAATTACGACTATTACTACTGCACCCACCTGTTCATGGGGCACCCGATATAAGGCTCACATTCCTCGGGGTTGCATAAGGCATACACTTTGTGCCGGAGGATAAAGGACGTAGTCAGGGAACCTTCCAACAATCCCACCCTATTGCAGGAGAAATGCCACCTGAGTACACCTTGGGTTGTCCGTGGCCTCGCCGTCTTGTCTGAGGTTGAAAATCCAAGTTGAAGTGCTGTGATCTGCTGCTCGGGACACTGGCATGATCGCCGTCAAGGAGACCAGTCACCTCGAGGGATCTATGGCGTCACTTGGATAACAAAAGACCTTGTGATTATAGACATCTATTACTCGGAATTTAGTTTAACTGCTCCTCGCCCACGGTATACAATCCCATCCCCATGACGACGTCATGCTAATAAAATCTAGATAAAACATCGTTATAAGGTAACAAGTCTTGATTATTTCTCTTAAAGGGCATAAAAGAGTACTCGTCGCTCTTTAGTACTTGAGAACTGTCACACAAGATGCGTCTTTTTACACCGTTGGCACTAGCTTGTCTATCTCCAACCCAACCAGTCTGGGCATCACTCAAGGACAGGGCTACACCCGACGTCCCACCATATGTTTTGGAATACGGTAAGCCAGCTAAAACCCATATTTCTGATATTGTATTGCTTATTCGGCTTTACAGCACCCTTGGTCTGGCTCCATAGCCAGGAAACATACATGCCAAGCGATATTCAGCAGCAGCTCGATCATACCAGACCCAATGTCAACTGGACGGCTATCGAGGGAGTGCAGACGCCACTAAACCTAAATAACCTTGACACGCTCAATTCCATGGGCAATACAAGCGTCTACCTAACATCACTAGAGGGCATCGAAGCCAATCCAGAACCAGCTTGGTTCCGGGGTGTCAGACCGGACTCACAGGGGCGAATAGGTAATGGTACAGGGAGTGTCATTGTTATCGCAGATCGTGGCAATGGAACCGTTGATGCGTTCTACTTTTACTTCTATGCGTGAGCTCAGCTGTATCCCGAGTCTGGCTTTGTACTGACTTGATCCTAGATTCAACAAAGGCGGCAGGGTCCTAGGCTTAGAATTTGGTGACCACATCGGAGACTGGTTAGCGCGAAGAACACTGATGTAGAGCTACTCGTTGGCTAAGAAAACCAAAACAAACAGGGAACATAACATGATCCGCTTCGTGAACGGTACACCCGACGCAATATGGTACAGCCAGCATGCCAGCGGGCAGGCATTTACCTACGCGGCCGTTGAAAAAAAGGATAAGCGACCGTATGCCTACTCCGCGAGAGGCACGCATGCAAACTACGCGATTGCAGGGTAAACGCAGAAAATCTTTAAAATATGTTGGAATGTCAATACTGATAGATATCCAGAAAACACGACCACACCATCCCGGGCTTCAACCTCCCTGCAGGATTTTTGATGGACTATACTGACCGCGGCGTGCTGTGGGATCCCGTGCTCAATGTGTATACTTACACCTACAACACAACAACAGCTGCGTTCAAGGCTGTGAACTCCAAAGATCCGGTGGCGTGGTTGGATTTCAATGGGAGATGGGGCGATGACCAGCCGCCTAATGAGCCTTCGATCTTTGGTGAGGCTAAAAATGTGGCTGGTCCTAATGGTCCTAAGTTCAAGGGACTGGATAGAGAGTTGGTGTGTCCTTCTAAGCCGTGCTTTGTGCTTCCGTTCAGGATATTTTCTGTGAATGCGACTTCGTGAGAGTTGGAGGATGATGGGGTTGGGTTGATGGCGGATTGTGGATTGTGGGTATATTGTAATGATCATTCTATAGGAGAATATAGTTTAGTATAGACTGATAAGAGTGGAAAGACTGTTGTTTAGATTGAGAGCTTGTCCTTCAGCCTTGTGATATTCTCTAGATAAAAATCAAAATGTGATGCCTCAGCTTCCAGGCTATTCCCTCATGCCGAATAATCAAAAGAAAAGGAGATTCTATTATCAATTCCTGGATCATTCGAAGGTAGGTTTGATTCTTATTCTTGTTCTCCCCGGATCCCTTTTACCGTTCTCAGAAAGAAAGTTCCTGCACGCAAGGGAAATCCACCCTCCACTTTGGATCCACTCCGTTCTCGAGGTGAGAAGGGCGATGTTTTTAGCGAGTACGTTGTATATGTACATACTCCATACTGCATACTGACACGAGGAATCAACATATTTCGAATGTACTATATACAAGGCAAATAAAGACTTTGACTGGAAATGCCCAAGAAAATAGTTCATCGTGTTCCAGCCCGGGAGCCTATTCTCGCGTGCCCCACCCCCGTCACAATAGGCTTGGAGGAGCTCTTATGTTTGGGCTGAGATCTTAAATTGCCGTGTTTCAGAAATTGATCTAGCTCGTATTGGAGATGCCGGCTCGGGTTCGATATGGTTATTAAACGGAGTAGTTAGTTTGATTCGGTACATACAATAGCGGGTTTGCGAGCAATTGTTGAGCCGATGGCTTTACCCTAGGGACAGGAGAGGTTAGCTTCGGTTAGTTGCTCCGTAGCATGTCCGACTTCAGCTGAGGTTGGGACTAATTGGGGCATAATCTGCATATACTGCAAACAAGACAAACATGTCCTTAGGTACTCCATACTCCATACTTCCATATATTATAGTTAACTCTGAACTATTCTGTTTTTGTAATATATCCGGATAAACATTATCTCCAGTTTGAGCGATATATCAGATTGTTTCGTATCTCTCCGTAAGATTATGGACAACAAGTGGAGATCTTTAAAACGGCCCATAGTGCACGTTCCAGATTCCCCTCTTAGCCACGAGGGGAGAACGTGCTTACCATGTGTATGTGTATGTGTATGTGTATTCGTGTATTCGTGTATTCGGGTACCCGGATATTATTCAATATCATGATTCTCCTCTGGACAGTTGAAAGACGAGAATCCAAACATCCCGTCTACAAGGGCCTTAGCTTCAATTGGACGAACCGGCGTTCAGTGACCAACGATCCAAGCTCCAAGTGGAGAACAACCGCTCCGGACCAAAGATGGAGGGTGACTGTTTTTTTTTTTACCCCTGAATGCTCTTTTGGTCTTTTCGATATTCATCAGATTTCGATCTTCCCCTTAGTATCGTAAAATAGTCAAATTAAATCTTTCTCTTTCTTTCCCACCCTTCTTTTCAACTTTCTCCAAGCGCCGCTGTTGCTGGACGCTGTGAGCAGGCCTATTTTCAATAATAATAAAAAACAAAAAACAAACTCCCTCTGCCCACCCCCCCCCCAAAGAGGAACTCGGAACTTTGAACTTTGTTCAAGTCCCAATTTCAATTCCTCTTCACCCACTGGCTGGGAAACTTGTATCTTGATTGATACCACTCTCGCTTATTCTCTTTTCATATCTTTGCTGTCGCAGACACTTCCGTTTTTTTTTGAGAAATCCGATCCCCGAATTGGCAATTGGATTGAATCCCACTTTTGTCCAGTTTCGGAGCAGTTTTGAATCGCTCCATTTCCACCGGATCTCAGCACTATCTGCAGTATTAGCGCCGTTGAACTCCGATATATATCACTTTGTTTTATTGGTGAGTGGTGGTTCCCAAGCTTCCATACCCCTGACATCTCGTGAGGGGTTCTGGCAATATCGAGATTTCCTTGATAGAGCATAACCCCAGCACTGGTGATCAGAAGAAAAAAGAGCAAAGAGCAAAGAGCAAGAGAACAGGAAAGAAAAGAAAAAAAAAGAACAAGAAAAAGAACCTAATGAGGAAAGAAAAGAACAGACAAATATCCTGAAATGGCAACTACGCGCCAGGCACCTGAAACAGACATTAATCGTCGCACCTCCCTCGGATTCCTTCGTCGTTCTAAATCCACCGAACCCCTAGGCGAGCACAAATCTTCCGGTTCCCGCAAAAAGATGTCCAAAACTCAAGCCATGGAAGATGAGATGCGTCGTCAGCGCGAGTCTTACGCCCCAAAAGTCCCTCCCCGCTTGCCTGATCTTTCCCCCGCCCCGCAGCTGGAAACCTTTGGAGGTGAGGAACGTGATAAGTTCCCCGACCCAATCCCAATTCGCCCACAGTCTGGAGTTGTCGCATCACCCTCTATGGCTGGTTCAATCAACAGCGTCGATCCCTATGGCCGCGCTGAGAGCATGACCCACCGTGGCCGGTATAGCTATGCTAGTAGTGCTGCCAGCACCGTGAACAGTCCCCGCCGGGTGCGCCGTCGCAAGGACCCCACCTCATACAAGTGAGTCGCCAAGATGTGACATTAACACCGAAACAGATCAGCTAATAATGGGAACGTGTTCAGTGTGCTTGTCATCGGTGCTCGTAACTCGGGAAAAACCTCATTCATCAACTTCCTCCGCAGTGCTCTGGCCATGCCCGCCCATAAGCATCCTTCGCGCACCCCTGAGGAGGTCGAAGAGCTTGAGCGTCAAACCTCGGCCTGGGAAGGATTCGCGTCACAATACCTGGAAACGGAGTTCGACGGAGAACGTGTCGGACTTACCCTGTGGGACTCTGTAGGTTTGGAGCGGAACATCGCAGATCTTCAGCTGCGTGGCGTGACAGGCTTCTTGGAGAGCAAGTTTGAGGAGACCCTCGCCGAGGAGATGAAGGTTATCCGCTCTCCCGGTGCCCGCGATACCCACATTCACTGCACTTTCTTACTTCTGGATCCTGTGCGTCTCGACGAGAACATCGCCATGGCTGAGCGTGCTGCCAATGGCACGTCCAAGGCCACTGATGCATCGGTGGTTGGGATTCTGGACCAGAACCTGGATATCCAGGTCTTACGCACGGTGCTGGGTAAGACCACAGTGGTGCCGGTTATCAGCAAGGCGGATACGATCACCTCCGCCCACATGAACTACCTCCGCAAGGCGGTCTGGAGTAGCTTGAAGCAGGCCAATATCGACCCCCTTGAGATCTTGACATTGGAGGACCAAGAGGAAGAATACTCCTCGTCCGAAAGTGCGGACGAGGATGAGGATGAAGTCTTGGAGCTGGAGACTAAACCCGAGTCGACTGAGACTGGAGATGCCAGCGAAGCCAAAGAATCCGAGGACGCAAGCGAAAATGTTCCCAGCTCGCCATCGCAGCTCAGCCAGGGCACTCGCAGGTCCAACACGTCGCAGGTCACCAACCAGCACGTTCCTTTCTCGATTCTGTCCCCGGACCCTCACTCGTTGGCAGCTGGAGACCAACCCGTCGGTCGCCGATTCCCCTGGGGCTTTGCAGATCCATATGACGCCGAGCACTGTGACTTTGTTCGCCTGAAGGACTCCGTCTTCTCCGATTGGCGCTCCGAGCTGCGGGAGGCCAGCCGCGTGGTCTGGTATGAGCGCTGGAGAACCAACCGCCTCAACCGCAATGGACAGTCGACGACGCCCGCCCAGAAGCAAAACTACGGTGGCCGCCAGGGACCTTATGATGGCCGTCGCATGCGATAAACGGGTCTCTCCCTTCCTTTCCCATAGTTTTCTCTTCCCGCACATACCCCCATTCTTCGCGGCCTGGCACCTCGCAAGGCTTCTTTTTATGCCATACCTGCTTTTTCCTTTCTCTTCTGGCAAAATGTTTCGAAATCCGGAACCTGTACTAGTGCTGTTCATCTATTGTTTGCACGGTAATTTGATAGTTTATCTTGAATCCTAATTCTGAGAGAGTAAATGTAGTGATGTACTAACGTACCCCTCGGCTTTATTTGCAATCTGACATGCGCATTGGTCAGAGGTCTTGTGCGGCTGAAGCGCTGGTCAGCGACGATCGTGAGTTCAGCTGTAAGCCAATAAGAGCCGCTAATCCTTGGCTACATGAGTGAAGAATCACAGACTAGCTCTTCAGAAGTTGGCGCCGATGAATACGAGGTGCTATAAACCTCTCACTTTGTCTCTTCTTTCCTTTCCTTTTTTTTCTCTCAATTTACTTCCACATAAGTAGAGAGAAGGTTTCATATCTGTAAGTATAGAATGGCCTAGCGGACATCGCACAAAGAAACCCCCCAGTTCAACTCTCCTCTTGTGTGACCAAAGGCCTCTCAAAAAAAAAAAAAGAAAATAAACCCATTGAAAACATTGAATATCAAATCAACAAACCACCCCATTGGACCAACAATGTCTCTCCAAGTGAACGACCCACGGTCGCGAACCCGATCCAAATCCCCTGGTCGCGAGCGCTCACGGTCGCGGTCGCGCGACAGCCGAGTCCCCTCCCCCTCGCCTTCGCCCTCCCATCGCTCCCGCTCCCCAGCCGTCGCGGCCCCAAGAAGCAAAGGCTACAATCCTGACGAAGAAGCTGAAATAGAGCGCCAATACAAGCTGATCAGCGAGCGACGTCGCGAACCAAACAACGACGAGCCCCGCCCCGTCGTCTCGCGCGCCCCAAGAACCCCCCGCTACGACGTAGACCGCTCAGACTCGGACTCGGAGTCGAGACGTCGCGGCGCAGAAAGCTCAAGACGACGTCGCGATGATCGCTATGAACACTCGGACGAGGAGCGCGGTTCTGCGGCGGCTTCGTCGCGGTCGCATCGACGTCGACCTTCATCGCCAGACCGTGGCAGTCGCGTGAATCAACACGACTCAGACGACTCAGCTGATGATCTGGCTTATGGTGATGCGCCGGGAAGCCATCCTAGCTATGCGCGCCCGAATCGGTATAGCTATGCCCAACCCACGCAGTTCGTCCCCGCTGCCCCGCGACAGCCGGGTTACCCTGCCGGCTCGGTTGACTGGGCCTCTGTGCCGGAATGCGAACGTCCTGGATACGTGCCGCCTTCCTCGCAGCCCGCAGGCCCGGCTAGTATGCCCGGAGCGTTCCCAGTGGCGTCGACATACCCCGCTAGCTCGGGGGCTGTTCCAGCGCCTGTGAATCCCGCGCTGCAGTATACTGGTTTGCCGGGCCAACAGGCTCCGTATGCGGCGCCGAATGTTAGTTATGCGCCTTCGCATTATCGGACTGCCTCGGCGAGTGATACTAATTATCCGCCGCCGGCTGCGGGGTATGCAAACCCAGGCGTGTACCAGTATGCGCAGGTCGATCCTAATGTGAAGTATTCTTCGAAGACGGTGCCCGTGTCGGGGTCCGGGCCTAAGCCGATATTCCCTGCTTCTACGCATGATCAGTTTTCTAGACCGATTCCGCAGACGCAGGGTCAGTATCAGCCGCAATCCCAGCAGCAGCCAGACCAGTATCGGTATAAACACGAACCTCAGAAACAAGAACCTCAGGTTGTGGAGATCACACCTGGTGGCAGTCGATCGAGTGCTCGTCCACACAGTCACTCTGTGTCGTCGTCGAATACCCTCGCAGTCAGCGGAGCCAGTGCATCTCATTCGGCCCACCCTCCGGCTAGCCCACTGCTAGAGCCGTATCACGGCACTTACCAGTCCATCTCACCCATGCCATCCCCAATAGTCATCCCCTCCATCCGCGACGACGACATCTCAGACCTCGAACCCCTCGACGGCGGAAACTCAGCCTCAGACTCAAGCCGACGCGGTAAACACACGCGCTCGCACTCATCGGTCAGCGAGAAAGAATCCCGCACCCGCAGCAGCAAAGACAAGAAAGACAAAGAGCGCGACGACAAACGGCGTATCCGCCAACCAGGCCACGGTCGCCACGACTCCAGCTCCTCAATCCTCAGCACCGACCCCCGAGTCCTCGTATCCCCAACAACCGGTCGCAAACGCGTCTCCTTCTACGACGCCGGCCCAGACGCTGCCGCCATGCAATCTGCCCTAAACCACACACGCAACATAGACAGCAAACCCATAATCCAAATCCTCCCTCGACTTACCAGCGACGAGATCCTGCTTCTACGCCAGGAATACAAAACCCGCGTGCGCATGCAAGGAAAAGGAATAAACCTCGCTAAACACCTCCGTCTCAAACTTGGCAGTTCCTCATTTGGAAAAGTCTGCTACGCAACCGCCCTCGGACGCTGGGAATCAGAGGCATATTGGGCGAACTGCTATTACCAAGCGGGGACATCGCGTCGCGAACTACTCATCGAGTCGCTGATGGGCAGGTCGAATGCTGCGATTCGCGAGATTAAGAATTCCTTCCGTGATACGCGCTACGATAATAGTCTCGAGCGGTGTATGCGTTCTGAGTTAAGGGCTGATAAATTCCGCGTTGCAATTCTGCTTGCGCTTGAGGGACAACGGCAGGATGAACGTGAGCCGCTCGATAAACGACTTGTGAGGGATGATGTGCAGGATTTGCATCGTGCTATTGTCCGGGAGGGGGTGAGACTGCTATGATTCATATTATTGTTTTGAGGAGTGATTCGCACTTGAGGGAGGTTTTGAGGGCTTATGAGGATAATTACGGGCATAATTTTACCAGGGCTATGATTTCGAAATCGAGGAATCTTGTGGTATGTATTTGATGCCTTCTACCTTCCCCTTCCACCTGCAGTCACTACTGGCTGATTGCTGACTGAAATTGAATCCTTAACTAACATACACATCTCCAGGGCGAAACCCTAGCACACATCCTCAACGGCGCAATCAACAGACCAATGCGCGACGCCCTCCTCCTCCACCAAGCCCTGCGCGAATCCCGAACTGGACGTGAACGCTCAGAGCTACTTATTTCCCGGCTTGTGCGTCTGCATTGGGAGCCTAGACATCTTGATCTTGTTAAGAATGAGTATCGACGTAGATACCATGAGCGGTTGGAGGAGGCTATTGCGGAGGAGATTCTGTCGTTGAATGGTGGGCAGGATTGGGGGGAGTTTTGTATCGAGCTGGCGCGGAATGCTTGAGTGTGGTGTGATAGATATTGTACTAGCATTTTTTTTCGTCCTGTTTGACTGTTGCTGGGTGTTGTTTTTGGGGTGGTGGTGTGTATTCCTGCTCTATAGGGTGGTATTTTAGTTTGTACTTTGTTTTCTTGCGTATATTATCTCTATCCTTGAATTTCGTTTTGTGTATACATGTACTGTACTTATTGATTGCCCTATGCCCTAGGTTCTATTTACAAAGTGCATTGCAAATGTATAGGATTCGTTGAGCTGCTTCTTAGGACTGGGTGTTTCCAGCATTGGATGGGACCCATATGCTTACTGAGAAAACAGATAATAATCCGAGCGAGATGTAGGATAAATAGGTGTACTCAACGTGAAGTAGAAAGATTAGGTGGAGGGAGGAGGCCCGTGAGTTAGTGTTGGGTTTGTTTGCTAGGTTGGAGTTAGGGTTGGTGGATGGCTGTGTTTGCATAGACGCCTACGCCACTGTAGAAGTAGGAAGAGAAACGGTCTCCATTGTAGGTGAGATGACTGGATCAGAATTGTTCGTCTAGCGGCTACAGCGGTAGTGGTTTGAATGCCTATATGATTCAATCCCCATTTCGCGCCGTTCTTGCCGCCATGCTTGTTTCACCTCGACTTAACGTTTTATATTATACCTTCTATGACAAGTAAATAATATGAGCCATGCACCCTCAAAGAGCCTCATTTTTATCACGGAGCTACAAGGGAAGCATGTTCCACTGCGCGAGTCATGGGGAAGCACTGGAGATTATGATGGATCTCTCCATGTCCAGCAACTGGTTGAGACCTCCCATTACGCCTTGTAATAGTGCACTTATAACGAGGTAGTGCTAAATATAAAATTCAGAAATCCAGACTACTACTCCGCTGCTTTGCACCATTCAAGACCGGATTTGCCAGCGGTAGTAGATGTTTTTATAAGCGAGCCGAGGTTACATTGACATGGTATGTATGCATAGATGGCACTAGACTTTTGTGGAAATGAGAGTCTGTGCTTCAACTATGATCCCGGATCTTTCTAAACGATATTTTATACATGTCATTTAGTAATTACCCCTTTGTATTGAAGCAGATTATTGACGTGCTCTACTTTCTACACAAGCAATTTAGTGGGGTGAGTGGATTCTTGATTGGCAAGATGTATCAAAAGCCTGTATGGGCAACTCCACATGCTGAAATAATCCCGAAAATTCACTTCTAATTATGTACAGAGACCATTGCCCTGGACGTCTGTGGAGATTAAAGACATTGCCCTTTCTCTAAGAGAGCCTTTACACCTACAGAGCAGCCAGTGGCACACGATGCACTGTGCCCAAATGTGGACAACATATGAAGCCAAGTCCCGAGTGCACACATTACGTAAATAATTATCAACACACGATCATGAGGTGTACTATAACCCTTCAAGCGATGGCACAGTAGCAAGAGCAGTTATAGGCTAGAATCTAAGGTATGTCACCGGAGATAGCAGAAAGGAGATAATATACTTTGGGAAACGGACGCCGAAAGCTTGGATTCTGGTCATTTCGGAGTTCTATTTAATCAGGGGGGGATTATGTTCTTGCCTTGGGAAAAAGCATATTGTGAACTGAATCGACCGATATATCACGCAGCAAGGAGGTTTCCATAGGAGGCGGATCGTGGACTCCAAACCAGATCCTGCATTTTGTACTACATCGCGCACGCCACCTCAACCCATGTACTCTGTATTCTGTATTCAAATACAAGGTACATGCAACACAAGAGTCTAGGTCTGATGGTATTTTGAACACATTTTTATCCGACCGGGCTGTCGGGGTCAATGCTGACATGCAGAGACGACCTCTGCAAGGGGAACCCCTCTGATTTGAGACAGAAACTCATGGCCATTTCATTCTTTACTGCAGGTCCCGAGATCGTCCGTACCCAAGATACTGTGGCTATTCAACACTCTTCATTCCATGCTCTCATCGGTTGAATGCCACGCTGCTGATCGCCATTTCCCCGCAGCTTTTTCGGGCACTAAAGATCAAGACCTGATATTACCTGCATCAAATGAAAATCGACGGTCCATATGTCCGCATGATGCTATCACGAAGGAGATGAGCATGGCACTAGTCTTGACTCGTGCCTTATTATTTACCCTGGGCCTATCGGCGGTGCCCTCAAACCACCGTTTCTTTTTCGTCTGCAGCCCTTATTTTCCACACCTCTCACCACGCTCTTATTCTCCACACCTTTATTTGCGCCATACAGCTGTATGGTCCGTCACCTGCAAGGCTCGCATCGATCTAGAGTCAAATTACTCCGGTGCTCTTGTCTGTCTAGTGACGCCACTCATTTCGACGATCCACATAGACCGCTGCTTGTCTTCCATGCGACCTGAAGGTATGCCGTTTCTTCCGGAAACTGCTAGACCGCGTTTTGGGCTTTGACTTCGGATATAGCCACTCTAGGAAAGTCCACCACCATTTCCAGTCCTTCCATTCAGGTCCCCTTGCCCTGACAACCCCCCTAACATCATTCTGCCCCCCTCTTAGCACAAATCTTCTTCCACTCGGGCGTTGACGGAAGTCAGCAGATTAGGATCCTTGGGATTTATCGAGACATGCAGGTCTGCTGCTACCTATTTTTTTTATTATGCCAAGGCGCTTTGATATTCCCCCGTAGAGAGCACATTCTGGCATGCGGGTCTCGGAGGGGCCTTTGGCTCCTCCCCCCTCTCTTCGCAGATTGAGCTCGACTATAAAAATGTCACTGGCATTCCTCTCCTGTAAACACAAGGCCGATCCCTTTCTTCAGTTGTCCTGTCAGCGTGTTTTGCAGCCGAGCTCCCTAGAGCTGATTCCCCTTGCTGCAAATAAATAACAGAGCACACTTGCCCCCGCATTGGACTTTGTGTATCTTACCATTCCTCCGTCCAACTCTGTCATAATGCAGCTGTATCGCCTCGGTCTGCTGGTCGCCTCCTTTGTGTGCTCTATTGGAGCACAGTCGACCTTCTCCCCTGCCCGCCCCCCGGCTATACCCCTCGCTGTTAGGTCACCGTACCTGAGTACTTGGCTCAATGTAGGAACTGATGGTGGTAATGGAGGGTACTTAGCTGGTGAATGGCCTGTATTTTGGCAGTAAGTTGATTATTACCCTCCTTTGGGGTACATGCGAACGTTTATACTAAGAAAATATGACCAGGAACCAGGTCACTGGGTGGGCAGGTATGATCCGCGTCGACGGGAATACCTATACTTGGATGGGTATCCCTGGATCCAAAACTGTCAATCAGACCGCGTTTGAGTATACTTCGACTAAGAGCATCTTCACTATGAATGTGGAGAATAAGGTTGAAATGAACATTACTTTCTTGTCGCCTGTTACACCCACCGATCTCAGACGCCAGTCCCTTGTTTTCTCTTATCTTAATGTCGAGGTCTCTTCTCTTGATGGCCAGAAGCATGATGTACAGGTCTACGCGGATATTTCTGCAGGTTGGTGCTCCGGCCACTTTTTTTTTTGTAATCCAACGACTGACGAAATATTAGAATGGGTATCGGGCGACCGAAATGCCATTGTAGAATGGGAGTATGGTACCACTGACGGCGTGGCCTACCACAAAGTACACCGGCAGACTCAGCTGGCATTTTCCGAAAAGAACGAGCAGGGCGAATGGGGTAACTGGTACTGGGCCACTGATGACTCGAAAGGCATGACCCACCAGTCTGGCGCGGATACCGATGTCCGTGGTGAGTTCTCAAAAAATGGAAAGCTCACCAATGGCGGCGACGCCAACTTTCGGGCTATCTCCTCCACCTGGCCCGTCTTTGGGTTCTCATCTGATCTGGGCTCGGTGGATTCTTCGCCTGTCAGCACACTCTTTTCACTTGGTTTGACACAGGATGAAGCTATTCAATACGAAGGCGCTTCGCAGTATGCCCCGGTACCGTCCTTATGGAAGAGTTATTTCGGTTCCGAATTGGCTGCTCTTTCATTCTTCCACAAGGATCATGCCGAATCGAGCAACCTCGCAAGCTCTTTCGATAGCAAGGTGGCCCAGGACTCAATTGCCACAGCTGGACAAGACTATCTCACTATTACTTCGCTCTCGGTTCGGCAGGCATTTGGTGCTACCCAGCTTTGTGGCACAAAGGACAAAACCTATCTGTTCCTGAAGGAAATATCTTCCGACGGCAACATGAATACTGTGGATGTTGTCTTCCCAGCATACCCGATTTTCCTGTACACCAACCCCGAACTCCTGAAGCTCGTTCTCACTCCTCTATTTGAGAACCAGGAGGCTGGAAAGTATCCCAACGAATATTCCATGCACGATCTAGGTTCTGCTTACCCGAATGCCACGGGTCACTCCGACGGCAGCGATGAGAAAATGCCACTGGAAGAGTGTGGAAATATGCTCATTATGTCTTTGGCTTATGCACAGAAGTCGGGTGACTCTGACTTCTTGAATAACCACTACACTCTGCTCACGCAGTGGACCAGTTATTTGGTCAACGACTCGCTTTACCCTGCAAATCAGATCTCAACGGATGACTTTGCTGGCTCCCTAGCGTGAGTTATTCCTTCTTTATCTGAAATTTTCAAACCTAACCAGCATGATTAGCAACCAAACCAACCTCGCACTCAAGGGCATGATCGGTATTCAGGCCATGGCAGTCATTGCCAACCAGACTGGTCACACCGCCGATGCTGCTAATTACTCGAGCATCGCCAAAGACTACATCACTCAGTGGCAGGACCTGGCTATTGCCAAGGATGAGAACCCGCCACGAACGACCTTGTCCTACGGTGACACCGCTAGCCATGGTAGGTTCAGCCCTCTGTCTTAAGTCTACGAAGCATTGTTTACCATTTCTGCAGGTCTGCTCTACAACCTCTTCGCCGATGCCCAGTTGGGCCTGGATCTTGTTCCACAGTCAGTCTATCAGATGCAGAGCGACTTCTACCCGACTGTTGCAAATAAGTACGGTGTGCCGCTAGACACCCGCCACACATATACAAAA